TTTGAAGACCATACATTTGCCTTTTTTAAGGGAAAGTGTTAGATGTACAGTTTGTTCATTTCCAAATGTGACATATCTGAAAGATTGTCGGCATATTTTTTGAAACATGAGGGACTGTGGACGTTCTAAGATTACATGAAAAGGTGGTTTGCTTTTTAACCCTTTGGCGGATCACCTCGCCAACCCAGTGTCCCTCATCCCCATGTAAACAGTCCATTAGTGTACAGAGAACGATCGAAGACTATTAATCCATGCCTTATTCAAGCCCTTCAAGGGCAAAAAATTATTTTGCGGTCACGTTGTTGGAAATACTTAACTGCAACAGAAACGCGAAAGCTAGCCAAACCTTGAAATTAGAACAGCCCTGGACCAGCCTTTCATTTTAAAGAGCACCGTTTTCCAATAATATGCCAGATGATGCTTAATGACAGGGAATTAATGACAAGGTGCCTTCTTAACAGTCTAATAAGAAAACAAAACAGTTAACGCGAACTATAACCAGCCTTTTTCAAGTTAGAAAGGGTGTTTTCCATTTTTTCACTTGGGGAAAACCAGTTTCAACCGGCTATGCTCCAATACTGATAATCACGACTTACAATAGTTACTAAAGTGTTCACTTATATCCTTGATCCGTAATCTTACCAATCAGTGTTAACTTAAAGATTACGCCGACCTACATTTGATCTATAGGTGTACAGACGAAACAACGTTTAACGTTTAATTTAACGCTTTCACCCTATCCTCACCCCCACCCTCACCCTCACCCCCACCCCGACCCTTACCCTTACCCTTACCCTTACCCTTACCCTCACCCCCACCCTTACCCTTACCCTTACCTTTACCCTTACCCTCACCCCCACCCTTACCCTCACCCTCACCCTCCCCCTTACCCTTACCCTTACCCTTACCCTTACCCTTGGTGTTGCCCTTACCCTCGTTTTAGCAACGCCGTGTTAAAAGCGAGCAAAGAGAGGAGAAGAGTTACTTCTGTTCGAAATGGTGTGTATGTTGCAGTTCAATTTTATCCTTGGTTCAAATTTTATTTTCTTTTGTTTCTGTTACGCGGGTAATATAAAAATCTTTTAGAGGACGGGTAGCTTGCAAACCAAACTGAACGCAGGGTTGTTGGAACAGCAACAAGAAGATTTATTCCAAAAATGAACGTAGTTTTCACAAACTCTACAACAGCACGTAACTCGATAAACTTACATGGCCAACCATGATGGCCAACTTCAATGAACACTGCTTCCGTCACACTTGACTAGACACGACCAGCGTCAAACTCTTTGCGCTTGTGAAAAATAATTAAAACTTTGCTCGGACTCGCCTACTTATATACTTTCACAATAAGATTCTAGAACTTTCTAAATAGTCTAATTAAATAAAGATTACAAAATATACCGCTTTAGAAACGCTTACACAAGGTCGTAAAATAAACAAACTATGAACCTCGAGAAGCTTGGTTCTAGAAAGTCACGTTAGTCACGCAATACAATTTTTCGTAACAGTTTCAAACTCGTGGTCATACATCACCATAGCCAAAAACAAAAGAAAAGGAAATTTAAACTAGGGATAAGATTGAGCCACAACATATATTTCACATTCCGTCGTAACTGAAAAACGTTACCACAAAGCCTGCTCGCTTTACCTTACGTTCAATGGGAATCGTGCAAATCTATTTGCAGTCGACTGACGTCGATTGCTATTCTGAATATTCTCCTTTATTTACTCCAATGATTAGTTTCTCTGTTACTGTTACAGCGGTTATCACTAACACGCCCCCTGAACACGCGCCCTCGAAAGGTTTTTTTCTGTCTGTTGAAACCCGAATTTTCGTGGACGTCAATCAACTGTTCCCATGGTTTTCTCACGCGCTCTGACAGAGCAGTTCCCTCGTCGCTGAATGAAGGAAGAAGACTTAAAAGAAAAATTTCGAATAACGTCAGCTTTTTAATCATTTGATGACAATTGATTTTAGCTCATATGTCAGTGGTGTGAGCGTATGTATCTTTGTGGCTTTGTATCTTTGTGACTTTGTATCCGCTTTGTGGCTTTGTATCTTTGTATGTTGGGATGTTTGTTGCAAGAGCCAATAAGGTTGAAGGTACTATGAGTTCATGCTTAGGAACCAATGAGATCTTGGCATCTATTTAAACATGGCATTGGTAAAGGTCGAACAAGGGCACTTTGAGACCGCCATCTTGATTCTTCACAATTTTTTCGTCTTTTTTTACGGCTACAGGTGTTTGGAAGAATTACATTAAATATCTTCATGATTCAAACGCTGTGTACAGTGATGCAGCTGTTTAAGGGTTCATATTTTAGTATGGATGCTGCTTCAAGGCATTTCTGACCTAATTCGGCTATCGGTACAAAGCACGTCTGTATGAGTTCTGTTTCACCTGCTACAACTGGGTAGAGTATAAAATATCATATATTTTCAAAGCTCTTCCAATGAAGCAATAATTGATATTTAGCTATAGACTTTAATTTGAAAGTATGCGCCCTATAAAATGTGGTTTTAGAAGTTTAAAAAGGCAGCTTATTTTTGTGAAAGCTGTACCGAGTATTGTTAATCCTGTAAACAAGCTTTAAAAATATTATTCTCTCGCTTACAAAGTTCAACAGACCTTTTTCGTTCTGGCAAAACAAAAAAAAAAGAATAAGTGAACAACATGATACATCCTACCTGCATACTAAGTATTATAGTTTCCAGAGATTCCAACCCTCCCGATTTGATCGGGAGTCTCCCGATTTGATGTCTTGCCTCCCGCTCTCCCGATTCTAACCAAATTCTCCCGATTTATTATAAAATTCTGAAAACTAGGGAAAAATTGCTAATTTTTAGAATTTTTGGCGATCTGTCACTGTGAAACACTCATATTATACTTACTTTCTTCGCGAAGAGCATTATGGTATGTTATAACTCAGGCCGGAATGATGTCAAAATTCAGGAAATGGCACTTGAGAGAACCTAAATTTGCAAAATTTCCAGGGGGAGCATGCCCTCGGACCCCCCTAGAAGCTCGCGCCTTCGGCGCCAATAATTACTCCCTATTTTCCATCACATGGGGTTGGAATCTCTGAGTTTCTGAAACATATTTTATTTAGTAAAGATGCGTAACTTAAGTAGAAACAGTAGCGTTAGGGAATAACATTGGAAGAAGCTAGTTGACAAAATAATTAGATACTGTTGTATTGAGTGGAGTAACATGATACAAGTAGAAATATATTTCGGCAGTTTGATAATTTTCTCGGAAGTTAATAAATGTTAGGCTATCAACCTTGACGTTGCATGAAACATGATTTAATTGCAGATGTTGTAATAAAGCCGAGGTGATTTCTTAAAATCGCTTGAGAAAATTTTGTATTCACACAATTTGCCTTTTTTTTAACGTACGAATTGTAAAAGGGCCAAAGACCAACATCTTCACATGCAAATTGTGTGCATGAGTTATTTTTATAATTCTGTTTACTAGATTACTGTGTGATAACTCGAATTCCATCACGTACGAACCACGAAAGGGGGCAAAGTCCAACACTTTCACGTGCCAGCTGTGTGACTGTACATCTCATGCAGATTGGCTTTTCACAATAATAATAGTAACTTGGACGTATGAAGACCTGTTTCGTTTAGAAAGGTAGATTCATCTCTCTTTGTAAGGTTACCCCGAAGTATTATAGTTACTCTGAAGCATTCAAAATAGCTCATGCACGTTTAACGTGCCTATGTTTGTCATTCGAGAGTAAGGCAGTTCCATTCACTGCGACGATGTTTCAATTCTCAAATTACATCCAGTGAGTCAGACTTAATACAAGGGCACCCAGCGAGAATATAGTTCAAAACCACTTAAACATAGCATTGTTAAACGTATTTTAGTATTTAGACGGTAGATATAGGCATACTTTTATCCCCTAAAAATTTTTCATCTGTTCGGATGTCCTAGCTGAAAGTCTAGTGATCCGAAAATTTTAGGGATCAAAACTTACCTTTTCGAAAATTTCAGCCAGAAAAAAGGCTCCCGAAAATTCTAGGTAACCTTTAAGGGGTAAAAACCCGTAAAAATGGGCAGTTATACCATTTTTTAGATGTTCGAAAATCCTAGGAGAGGCAGGCAAGCAAGAAATTTTACAACAAATGTTCCGCAAATTCTAGGTCTCAAATCGTCTTCCGAACAGTTATTTTCCGAAAACTGACGTTGGGTGAGTTGGGTGACGTTGGGTGAGTTCATAGGCCTTCTGGCCTAAAGAAGGTTTAAAATAATATCGAACTCGACGAAGCTCGATGCAAACAGTTTTTTTTTAACCACTTCTCGCGCGTTTTGAATTCGTGACACCCTGTCAGAAAACCTTCTCGTTCCCAGAGCTGCGATCCTTTTGGTCAGCGCCGCGGATAGCTCTGGGAACAGGAATGGTCAGAAAATCAAAGATTGGTACATGCGGAGTAACAGGATTGTATCTGAGGTAGAGGCATTCTCGTCCCCAGAGCCAATCGGCTTTCGACGGGCTGTGGGAACGTTAATGAGGGGCTTCTCTAACAATGGGCAAAGACGGGTGGTTATAACAGGTAAGATATTCGCCTAATCAAATTCACTAGCGCAAGCCTACTTCCATTCCCGTCGGTGCACGCTGATTCATGACCTCACCAACTATACCTCGAGTTCTGGTAAGCTTGGCATTCCTCTCAAGTGATTTCTTAACTCCATACGATACGCGGTACCGTTGACCATGTATATACCGGATTTCGACTCCCCGTTTTGTTACCGCGAGAAAATTAATTGAATCTTTTCGCCACTAACGCTTTATTCACCATGATCATCTCGTTCTATTCGTCGTCTTTTTTTCGCTGTTGTTATAATAATTGTTTCGTTGTTATCAATCTTTCTTGACCGCGCGCTTGGAGGTGCTAAGATTGAGACGAACTTGATTTGATTCTTTTCAAACCTTTCCTCAGGACTTAAGGCATTACTACTTGGACAAAGGAAATCTATTGAAATTAAGTTGCTTTAATTTCTGTACAATACACTGTTGTCTGTAATGCGAATATAAATTATGAAATGACACTGAGTGTCATACCAAACCCACGAATGAAATGAAATTTGTCAACGAGTGTACGCTTTTTACAATAATAATTATACAACCCTAAGATAATATTTACAAGTTGCATATAAACGTCCATGCAACAAAACCTTTAAACAAAAGCAAGGCAACGACGGTACATACAGCCCTGATATTTACAGTTGCATAAAGTCCATGCAAAGAAACCCCCCTTTACACAATAACGAGGACAGACATGCCTATGCCAAAAAACCACAATTACGGGTAACTGCAAGCAAATGCGCATCGATCAGCCAAAATAACCTCGTTCTAACATGAAAAGACATTTTAAATGCGCTTCCGCGTTTTATTTAAGTTCTTGATTAGGCGAAGTCATGGCATCATTGATGGACTGTATCCGTTGTTTGATTCTTAATCCAAGTCTGTTTTGTCGCTGCTTCAAGAATTCATTTAGCTCTTTTTCCCGCTTTTCCCTGCAAAATAAAGAAACAATCCATATCGTGGCCATGTTCTATTTTTATACAACTTTCTACAGTTCAGTTTGTGTCGAGAATGTTCTGATTTATCGTTACCAAATGACGCAAACAATACAATACAATACAATATTCTTTATTTAATGAAGGTGACGTAATAACCCAATAGTTATCTAACTTACGGCCTTCGCAACAATACAAAATACACATATAAAAACAATACCTAAACAGTAAATATACGACTACAACAAGAGAAAAAAATAGAACTAGACAAATGTATGGTTTAACATAGATATAAGATGATATAAACTAATTACCTCCTAATACAGTTACAATAAAGAGAAAAACGACAATCATAACACATTAACTCTAAAAATGTATATTTATTTCATCAAAGCAACCCCAAAAGCAATCCTGGCCGCACGAGAAAGACAGTGCAAGACTTTTTGTAGCACACAGCAAAAAAAAAATTCTTTTGAACTGTGCAAGTGCGGAAAAGTAATATTGCTACCACTTTCAAGGAAGCTGTATTTGGTATTTTCTTATTACTCCCTACTTAACAGAAATGACAATTTCCGAGCTGCTCCAAACCCTGTTTCAAAGCGAGGATACGTACAAAGCCATTGATATGAAAATGATTTTTTATTTCTCATGCAAATAAAACTTATTTTCAAAGGAAAAATTTTGCACTTGGCCTCGTTTTCAAAGTGAGAGTGAGGAGCTGAAGCAACAACGAAGGCGACGGCTGCAAAAACGTCACTTACAAAGTAAATTCGCGCTGCCTCAAACTTTATCGCGCTTGTAATATTCCATCTCGATGAATTCGTCAAATAATGGGAAGATTTTTTGGAGTTGAATTCTAAAAGAGTGCATCAAAGTTCAAAGAAGAAACTGGAACTCGGAAAAGGCCTATTTTGGGTTTTGTTGATCCATTAATCACGAGGACACTTTGTGGTGACTATCATAAAATATCAAGCATCTCGGTAGCCTGCATTTCTGGAAATAACTACTGCTTCTCAACAGAGCAATTCTTAGCTGAGATCTGAGGACAGACTTTACAACCTTTTGACACTCTCCAAAGCATTCATTTACCATACCAATTCAATTACAGTTCCGCATATACAGTTTAACATGACAGTTTGAAGGTCGATAACCTCCTGATCCCAGTTGTTCGAAAGGTGGATAACGCTATTTGCTGGATAAATTTCCATCGAGTGGATAACGCAATTGGATTCCCTAAAACTTATCGGATGGATAGTGATTTATCCCGGCGGTGGACAGCGCTATCCAAAGTTAAACAACCGGGACCTGCAGTTTAGTGCAGTGCTCCTAATCTATCTAAATATGGTTTTATCATTTTTATCTTATTTTTATTTATGCCACTGATATTAATATTATAAAGGAAATAAAGGGAGATGTAAAGAATCAACCATAAGAGGACACAGAAAAAATCTGAGCCCCAGATGGGATTCGAACCCACGACCCTCCGTGTTCTAGACCATGCCGCTTGCTCGCCAACGAGTCCTCAGTAGCTCAGAGGTTAGAGCATCCTATCTAGAACACGGAGGGTCGTGGGTTCGAATCCCATCTGGGGCTCAGATTTTTTCTTTGTCCTCTTATGGTTGATTCTTTACATCTCCCTTTATTTCCTTTAGATTTTTATTTAGGTTTTTTTGGCGGGGGGCGGGGGGGGAGCAGCTAACAGGTGTGGTTGAATTCTTTTAAGTCTATAGGGAAGTATTTAAGCCTGCAGTACCTTGGAACAAAGGTTGCGGTTACCGCCGCTGACGCAGCCGCTGACATCTTTGTAGTTCCACCTGTGTGTAGCATCATTTCACTACAAAAATAACGAACAGCAACATTAAACTGAGTTTAAAAAGAGAAAGACGTTCCTGAAAAGTAAAAAGATTTTTCGAGATAAACAGCTTACCTCAGCTGTGATGTCACTTGCTGTTCTTGCTCGCTCACAATGCTTTCCGCCGTGGGAAACTGGGCTCGAACCATTTCGGGAGTGGGGACTGGGATCTCCTTGAAACCAGGGTCAGCTCCCTCTTCGTCCCTAAGTAAGTGATAGATGAAGTAACAGATGAAGAGCCACAATGTGGAAACCCTGTTATAGAGCCAATTACTTACTTACTAGTATATACTTACTTGTCCATACTTTCCGAAATACGCTCAAGTCAAGTTGCACTAAAGTGAACCAGATCTCATCTAACGCACTTTTGCCCATATGGTTTAAGTCTGAACGTGTTCAAGCGCTGAGATGCTGTTAGTATTATCAATGTGAACTCTCAGTGGTCCTTTGATTCGTCAAGCAACGCTGCTCCAGAGCATTGCGTGACGTTGCGTGACAAATTGAGCACCGGAAGTCGAGTTTAGTTTCTTCTGCGCGCTTTTCCGTCTTCGACTGTCGTTCCCGTTTTGTTGGTAAATCACTCTAACATGTATAGCAGGGCGCCGCCCTCATGTAAAGACACCTTCGGGGCCGTAAGTTAGTGGTTTTACCTTAATTGCGAGAATCCGTAAGAATAGGAATTAATTTCAGTCAAATGCCTGTAATCCGGTTTTGCCTAGAATTTAGCTAGTCTGTGAGATGTCCTTGGTAGCCACGTGTCCGAAAAACGAAAGTCGGGGGATGTGTAGGGTACTACGCAAAATCCAGTAATACATCTGACTTACATTTCATCATCACTCATGATATCCTCATCAGGGAGACCAGTCAACAAAGCTGGGACCTCAGTTGGCAACAGATCATCACTGAACGGATCAGTCCTACGGTGAAAAAAAAACGCAGTTATTTTTTCCAGGTCGCGAGGTTTTGCAAGACACGTACTTCAAGTACGTCATCTGTTCCCGGTACAGGTAAAAACCCTGCTCGTAGATAACTTCTTTTGATAGTCACTTTAAACCCTCTGTTGAGAAGAAACAAAAATTTATATATATAAGAGAAATCGCATATACACTTACCATCGAGGAATCCAAACATTTGATAGCGTGGGATTTGTTGCCATGGATACCAGAGGTTGGCATGGAAACCGTTTCCAAGTCATGACGCCAGGAATAACATCCTGAAGAGAAAAGATTTTTGTTTGCTCTTTATAAAATTTTAAATAAAACATTTCATTATTTTTTTTTATCGTGAACGTTGAGGTACAATTAACAATACTTTTAAAAAGTGTAATTTAAAAGTATAGGTATTGTTTTCAAAACCAATGGCTACAAGTTTAAATTACACTCGTAAAAATTTCTTCAATTGACTCCTGCTTACGCTTCTTCAGTTTTCTTAAGTTATCGTTAGTGTTAATGCTAAAGCTAACGTCCCTCCACTGAGAGCAAGCATTAGTTGTAGTGACTTAATTCCACGGTTTTCTCATTAATAATGTGATCACCAACTTTCTTGAAAGCCTCAAACTAGATTTGTTTCAAATATCTCTCTAAGTCTGTTTTAATTACCTGCAAAACTCAGTTGTACCTACCATCCAGTATCTTTGGAAATTGGAAACATATTTTTTTTTTGGTTGGAACAAGATTGATTCACCTGTCTTTCAAGGTATTTTCTGCCCTGTTTTCCTGGTTTCCCTGTTGTCCTGTTGCGAGGCAGGGGACACAGGTGATAATCTTCATCCACTTCTGCGTAAGGTAGCGGCGGTTTAAATACTTGAAGGCCAGGTGCGGGATTCTGTGGAGCAAAAATAATCGTTAATTAATTTACAAAAAACTTGTCCAGGAAAAGAGGGTTTATAATAAAGAAAACACTGCTCTTTGCTTGTGATGGCTACTCGCTCTTGTCTTGTTTTGCCAGTGGGTCTGACCGCCAGAAAATAGAAAGAATGATTTCAATACCACGTTGCCTGTGTTTTGTTTCTCTATGGATGTGGTTACAACGTACAGCACATTGATTGCTGTAAGGACATTTTTATAAATGTTTTACAGTTTTATCAATGCGTTAAATCATACAACTCCGTGTGAAAGCAAATACTATGTAAGAAATTTCATCAGTGTATCGTAAATGATTGATTAAGCGCCGCGGCGCTTATTTCATTTTCCCAGTTATAGGTGTGGCGCCTATACGAGAGCGGCGCTTATTTCAACTACTGATAAAACCCCGAGTAGACTGCAAAACAGTCTGTTTTTTCCTCAAAATCAGTAAAGAAATCTGTAAAGCGTGGCGTAAGAGTCTTACGCGCGCGAACCGTGCGAGCGTCTCTCCCCAGTCTTGCTCTCTGTTTTCAGCCTCGTTCCACACCTTTTGTTTGACTGCTCGCGCGTACTTGAATACGCAAAAATACGGACTGTTTTGCAGTCTAAACCCCGAGGGAAATATAGAGAGAATTAAGTGAGGCCCATACTTGGTATGTACAAATAAGTATAAAATATGTACACTTTGAACTGTTATATGAACATGGTTTCAAGAGTTTCCCTACATTAAAACTTTAGAGCTCACGAGTTGGCAGAGGTCTTATTTCTCAAGCGATATCAAGCGCCGTAACAAAGGTGGGGCGTTAGTTTGTTAATACCAAAATTACCACCGCAGCGCTTATTCGAGAGCACCGCTTATTAAGTTATTTTCGGTAAAGGTGCTGCGCTTATTCGAGAGCGAGGCTTAATAGATCATTTCGGGTATTTGAACCGCAGGAGGAAGATTTTTAAAACACCTGACAGTTCATCTCAGTCATGTCACGGCAACTTAGAAATTTGCAAACAAAAAACCTGAAAAAAAAAAGAGGGTGGACGGTGATTTAACGTCCGGGAAATTGGTACTGTCCTTGTAGCACTGAGAGCGGGCACTTTGATCGTATTAAACCCGTAGAAGATAAAAATAAGAAAGTGAATCTATGATTTTAAATATTTAAACTGCCATGATCTTTCACGTGTATAATTCTCTGTATTTGTGCGATAAAAAATAATAGCAACTACTCACAAAAATATGCATGGGGTGATACGAGGTGGGTCTAAAAAGTGCCGCGGGTACCACGAGGGGTACTGCTTCATGCTCCTGTGTAGGTAGGTCCTCATGCGGGGTGGCGATTATAGGGCTTGCCATTTGAGGACTCGCAGCTCTGTCACCCTCAGCCTCTTCCTTAGTCTCCTCTCCACCGTCTGTTGTCGGGACAGGACTGGGACTTTTCACTGACGTTAGAGGAAGACTGCTGACCAAGTTTATTATCTCGTCCTGAAAAAAAAGTTTACGTTTCATCAAACTTAACTTAATGAAGATGTAAAGGATTAAAAATAAAAAAGGTGACAATTCAGAACATGCGAAGACTGATAAACTAAGTTTTCTAGAGGCTGAATTTTTTTTTTCAAGCTTTAGCTTAGGTAAAAAAAAAAGTTTAAAACGAAGCTAGGAGTTACAGGGAAACTACAATCATAACAAATACCAGTAGCCCATCACTACTGCAAATACACAGTTAGCCTTTTCACGCGTCTGTTTCTCCGTCTAAAAAATGTGCGAAAAACTCCCTAAGGTTACCCCAAATCGCTCACGTCTCCACCGCTGTGTCTGACGCAAAACCACAGACAAATGTGATTTAAAAATTCTAAACGGTTGTCTAATGGTAAACGATTGCAGCAGTTTCGACGTTGCCCAACTGAGTGCATAGTAGGCCTGAAGCTACGTGCAACGGACACAATAACTCCCAACATTGTTGGTCCAACAATGTTAGGAGTTGTTGCATCCGTTTTCACGCCACTGCCAACACGGACGCAACAACTCCCAACACTGTCGGTCCAACAATGTTGGGACCTGCAGTGCATCGTGGAAAGGATACAACCCATTACACTTTGGAGAGCATGTGTAATGCGCGTGCGTGGCCCCAACAATGTTGGAAGAGCTGTGCAATTGGATCCAACCCTGTTGCGCCATGCTTCGGCTAACACTGAACAAAAGAAATGTTGGACAGTTGTTGGCTCAAAACTTTAACCGGTTTCAAACCTTGCGCAAAAACTCTCAATAACACGCAACAACATGCAACAGGGTGTGCAAACGGACACAACATGTAACATCCAACATCGTTGGGAGTTGTTGGCCGACAATGTTGCGTCCGTTTGTGCGGGGCTTAAGAGAGCTTAAGGAGGCTGTTGTGTACGTCACAATATGTTTCACATTACCTCGGCGCGAACTCTTAAGGGGCGAACCAGCTTTGGTGGGACGTATCCAGATGACGCATCGGCTACGGAATGAGGATTGTAACCCAAGATTTCATACCGCTTAGGTACCTGAAAAAGAAATTTGAAATCTAAGTTAACTTCTCTTATGTGATTATTTAAATATTTTCCGATTGGACGTTATGTAATTGTTACAAATACACGTAATAAGGCTGCGTGCAAACGGACGCAACATTATTGGCGCAACAATGTTGGGAGTTGTTGCGTCCGTTTGCAGGCAGCCTAAGGACTAGGCGTGACGCACGTGCGACGCGAGCCTCTCTCGATAATGACGTAATTAAAAAACAGAGGGACCATAGCAACGAACATACTAGCCAGAGAGCAAGCTCTCCAATTATGACGAGCAAACGAGCCGCGAGAGGACGCGCCCCACGCACTCACGTGTCCTTTCGCGTTCGGTATTACATGACTTCTCTCGTATCCCCCAAATGGAGAGCTTTCACGTAGCCTTCCACGCAGGCGTTTTTAGGGGAGCTCGTTTTTCATCCCTGCCCACAAAAAAAGAGCTCCCCTAAAAACGCCTGAGTGGGAGGCTAGCTTTCACGAAGTCTAGTGATGTATTCGAGTTCAGAGTCATAACATGAATTTGACATCAAAGTGAGGTTTGAGACTGACAGGTCCTGTTTTTAATATAAGCAAGACGGAGATGCGAGTTGAGGACCTTTCCTCTTTGCAATCATAGTCGCCATGAATGCAAAGTATACCAATGTATCCCAAATAAAATTCGCCTAAATTTTTAAGATAGATTTGCAAACTTTCCCTCACCCGAAACTGAAAGACCGACGACTACAAGGGCACCCAACGACTTTCTCCTTAATAGGTTGAAAACACTTTTTAGGCTATTCAGAGTACTTTTAGATCTCTAGAAATGCATTCACGATTCTCAGCGGAGCTATAAAATTTGTATCAGTTCGGTCATCCTAGGGGAACTTGAGTCTTTTCGAAATTACAAGGGCTTCAGTCTTACATTCTAAAAAATTTTAGATCCAATTCAACGTATTACGACAATGAGAATTTTATTAATTGCTCTCTTCATCAAATTTTTGAATCCGAAAGTTTTAGATTTCGTTTTTCGACGAAAAATACCCTAACCTGAGGAGTGAAATGTGAAAAATTAAACTTTAGAAAATCGTAGGGGATTTATTACATAATCTTCGAAAACTGCACATGAATGGAACAGTCATCTAGAAATTTTTAGCTGTCCTAAACTAAAAGAAAATTCTAGACAATATCTACTTCTCGGAACAGATATTTTGCAGGAAACAGTCGTTGGGTGCCCCTAATTGATAATCACCGCACCACCGTTTGCTTCGTTTCGAAAGGAACTTCACAGATAGTTTGTGTCTCATATTCTCAAACAAACTTCAAGAACAACCAATTTTCTTTTATATTGCATTGAGGAATTACCTTTAAATTATAATAAGGAACATGCGTCTTCACTTTAACCACCGTTGGTTGAACGTTCAAGGTACCAAGGGCATCGACATCCTGTTGAAAAACAAGTATGATAACAGTCAGAAAATTTTTTGCTTTAGCTCTGTACCGAAAAAATACACCAACGAGCCTGTCAGACGGTTATTCTTGGGCATGTCATTTAAATAAACACAATATACATTTTATTTCTTGGCCACGGTGCAGAGTCTTACTTTGAAAACTTATAAGCGACCTTCAGGTATAAGTGCAAACAAGACGTTTACGTTTATGTCAGTCGCTTTGCTTTATATGGGCTCTCATAACCTTTATGAATGAACCCACTACGGACCTTCGCTCTAGTGTCAAGTACTTTCTTTCTTACGCACTTGAAGGCAATGTTCAAAATAAAACTGAGTTCGGTAAGACTATGTAAGACTAACCATGTCATCTTTCGTGTCAGGAGACTTGTAAGAAGGGAACGAAAACGGGAAGATAGACGCAGACTGAATTTGTAACGGTACCCCGACTTCATCGAATAACCTTTCTCCTTCACTCTCGGCGAGTTGGCTTCCTAAAAAGAAATGACCGAAAAAACTCTCAAACGCAAGCAGTGCGAGATAGACACAAAAAAAAACAAAAACAAAAACAAAACAAACCTGGGTGAACAATACAAAAATTCAAGAAGGAAAAATAAGATTTCTTCGGGCAAAGTCAATGTACAGCATATGTCTAGGGTGATGGCGAGAATGATGTTACACGTTAAACAAATTACAAGATGCGATAAAAGTAAGCTGTACTTGTTGCTTACTTGTCGGGACCTGAATTTGTTCTTTGATAACAAACCGCGTACAGTCTATTAGCAATTTTTATATCATTGTATTAAAGCAATTTACATTTTAAAATGCATCCACGAACTAACTTTTGCATCAGGTTAATAAACACTTACTTGTATGTTCCCGAGTGAATTTGCCTTTTCTCCAGTCCGTGACAAACTCTCCTAAAGAATTTAAATGCTTGCTTGCCCTTAGCCTCACTATAACCTAAAACGAAATAGAAAACGTCGCCGAACAGGTTAAATATCAGTCAAGCTTAAGGTAAGCTTATCTTAGAAGAAACCTCCACCGAAACAGTGAAACCCAAAGAGCGGTTGGGTGAAAGGGTGAAGAACTCTCCATATTTTCTCGAGGCCACTCCGTCAAAATGCATTTAAGTCACACAGTTGTCTTTGCATACTGTGGGTGAAAAACTGAGTCTCATTGAATCCTAAAAACATTTCTGCAGGGCTCAGTCTGAAAGCGCAAAAAAGACCATAAAAAAAGCAAAGCTGCTTTTCAAACAAAGTAAGTTTTGTGCCTCTCAAATGCTTTCGGCTCGGTGAATTCACAAGCAAAACCTATGACATCATAATAGCAGCACAAGTTTCTACTGCGCGCGCGATCGATTTCGCGCGCTCGTGCAGCTGCAAACGCAGTGACTTTTGCATCTCACAAATATTGCATGAGAAAAAACAAGCACAGCAGACAAAAAAAATACAATTGGTAAAGTTAAAGTTTAATCAAGTTTTGATTTTTGTAAATGTTTCTTCTTTCCTGTCTGACCCGTAACCAGCTGATCCTTGGCCACGGTCGGCAACTATTGAGCAGGTCGAGAATGGATAGCTGTGAAAAGCTAAGGATGTTGGCCCCAGTTGTTCAAAAGGTGGATAGCGCTATCCACCGGATATATAAATCGCTATCCCGTGGATAGTGCAATTGGATTTCCTAATACTTATCCACTAGATAGTGCTATCCAACGTTTGAACAACCGGGGCCAGATGAACAACCGACAAAACGCATGTTCGAAAGTTTAAAAAAACCCTGTGTGTTAATGTAAAAAAATAATGTACTTCTCAGATGAAAAAGCCCCTGAAAAGCGTTTTAAAAAAATACTGTGGTTAGAACCTGCCTGGGGCGTCCATCAGGTTAGTGGGAAAAATAATACAAGGGAAGACTGAAAATTAACCGACCCAGATGAAGTTAATGCGAAGAGTGATGGCATATCCTGGCATGTTTCACCTTTCTTCCTGCTTGAACAAATTTCTGTATCACCATGTGTCTTTTGCTCCACTCATCGTTCACAAGAAGATCGAATCTGGGCTCGTGTTCTGCTATCTGTGAAAGCAATGAAGAAAAAAGTGTACATTATTTAGGGACAATAAGAAAGATAAGGTAGTTTTCGTCCATGTTCCGTCTCACCTTAAAAGAAATAAATCTAACACCCTCACAATCCTATGTTTGGCATTATGTTAGAATCACATCTTACGTCAGAACGGCAACTTTTATACAGGCATTTAGTAGACGTTGGAATGTTTCCAGCGTACAAAATGTGGCCTAATGCAGGCGTTGATATGGTAGGGAGCGAGTCAAATCGTATTCGTAGAGCTGAAAAGCAAAGCGAGAGGAGAGATCCCACGTTTTTCGCCCTAGTCTCCGCTTTTTTTTTCCCTCGTCAATCTTTTACCCGCGCTCTGAACGCCTTGAACAAGCTAAACAAAATGAGAAAAAAAAACAACAACAACAACAACAAAACATAACCATAAATGCCGGGTGAAAGTTTCGACAAAAGTTTTACCATAACTGTAGTACAGTACTAACTCCCTCAAAAATATAGCCTGCGAGCAAGCTTTTCATTTGGGGGATACCGTGAGAACTTATACTGTGTGTTCTCGCGCGGCTCACTTCGTTGTCGGCTCCTGTCGCTACTCGAAGGGGAAAGCTTGCTCGCCGGCTACTGAAAATATAACTTACTTCATCAGCCTGTCTGTGTATTCTCCTCATCTCACAGCCAACGCACGATCGATCATACTCCACTTCTGTCACTGGATCACCGCGTTTAAGCTGTAAAATTCATAAGGACAAGTTAAATTAGTGACAGACCCATACTGACACGAATTATAAGTATCAAATGATTCAAATATTGGGAGTTAAAGAAGCCACAACGATGAAGACAGGTAAAGCATCGCTATAAAACTAATTTCCGTTCTTTGAACTTTATCAAGTTTATTAGGCCTCGCTCAAATTGTCTCGATTTTTAGGTGACTTTTCCCGGAGGTGAATTCGTCAGTAAAAGCTATTTCCAAGTTGAAAAAGAAGAAGGAAAATTCGTCGTCGTATCAGGTTCACCTCCTCCATAAAACCTCGCATAAGGAAAATTCACGTCGTAGTCGTGCAGTGTGGGTCAAAGAATACAAAGTAAAAGTGTGATGGTTATGTGATTATCTCACATGACCATTTTTTTTTCTTGGAAGTTTTTGCTTAAGAAAATAAAGAGAAGGTATTTATATTGAGCTTTCGTTATCTAAGAAAAATAACCTGAATTACATTTCGAAAATGAGCGCGCTGCATGTGGATTGCGTCTCCTTTTACCGCGCTCCATCAGTTAGCAGATTTTCGGACTGTTTGAAAGTTGTCGTAACGCTCAAAGCAGTCCGAACGCATTTTCTCTTGGTCCGAGTGAACATATCGCTTAACGCAAGTGTATAAAACTAGCTTAACTTGGCGTTCTTGAAGAAATCGATTAAGGTACATGATTTATTACGTCAAAAGTTTGATCTTAACTGATCCGCATTGTATGTTAGTGTGTCAACAGAAAGGGTGTGACACTTTGGTGAGAGGAGTCTCTCGTGTAAGAACACGTTCAGTCTACCAACAAGTTTCACTTTGGCAAGTAACTTAAAAGCTATCAAATTGTATTTACCCTATATTCTTGTTCCGTAAAGGTTCTTGTCTCACAGATTTGTTTTCTGGTAGCATCTGACATTGGATCTTCACCTAACCTCACGCACCTGATATAAACAACACGAACTACCATATAAACCAGCATGACACAGCACATGAAAATATTTATTTATTTGAACTTTTAAGACACAACAGAAAAAAATAATCTGGTGGGCAAAAAATGATAAAACCATCAGCAGTTCAGTAACTTGTCAAAAGGGACCTCAGATCTGAGGAAGGTGACGGCAGCGAAAACTTTGCTTTGATTATTTCAACTCCATTACTTTGTAAAATGTTAGCGAACTCTTCTGGAGTTTAACTCCTAAGAACCACATCCAAGTTCAGAATGAGAAAGAAAAACTGGTTGTGGTTCAGTTTCCGTCCTCCATAAAATGTGAAATTAGGCATTTTCACGTCATAGTCTTGCTGTGACCTTAAAGAAATGTACAAACTAGTGTGATGCGCGTGCAGAGTTGTTGTTTATCCAGTGAGCAAGCACTGACCAGCACTCCATTTGGGGGAATCTCGAGAAGACACACGAGAGTCACTCGCGCGTTGTCGCGCTGCTCACCTTGCTCGCCATAAATGGGGAGCTTACACGCAGGCCACGTTGTTGTTTTGCATATAAAAACCTATTGCTCTTTTGCTGTTCTTCTTGCCAGCACTCCATTCGGAGGAATCTCGAGAAGTCACGCGAGAGTCGCTCGCGAGTTCTCTCGCTACTCGCCTCGCTCGCCATAATCGGGGAGCTTACTCGCACGCTATGTTGTTGTTTTGCTTATTAAAACCTATTGCCATTTTGCCGTTCTTGTTGCCATGTCCGTCACCGTCGTCGGATCGTAAGGTCCCTAAAAATTTCTTACAAACATGTAAAATCTTAGCAGAGGACTTTGTAACTTACCATCTAAGCTGGTTTTGTCTTTCCTCCTGTATGTTTTGATGGACTTCATATTCAAACTTCGTTTCCTTTGCAATGAAATTAAAGAGTAGATAATTAAAATACTTAACAAATATTCCCAGAGGGCTTGTTCACTCACAACTGTTTCTGTTTAATGCAATACCATTATTTTCTTGTGCAGAAGAACCAGTTACGTTAAGAGGAAAAGTTCAAAATTACTCAATTTATAACATAGGTGACGAACTACTCCTTAATTTTGGCGCGAAATTTCAGCGTTAATTTGTAATTTCACATGTGAAATTACTAAATTGCCATGGCAACATGCCGTACGTCTCCGTTTCATGAATGAAGATGTCAGGGCATAAAAAAACGCTTTAGAAAACATGACCACACGAAAGAGCACATCAAGAAGGATTCTTGGAGGTATGTTGTCGAAAAATTCTGAAAACTTAAGCCAAATTTTAGCTCTAAACGTTTGAGAGAGTGGAGTTCACGATCGATCGATACGATCCAGGATAAACAAGTCAAAAATCCTCGATTGCTAACGTAATTCGTCACCCGTGATATTAATAGGTAATCAAATGGTATACTCGTGAAATTAAGGAATAATTTCACTCGTCACCATTTGATTACACATACTTATCAAGCATGAGATGAGAAGAGAGTTGAACATACGACGCGCAGCGGAGTATTTTTGACGAACTTCGAGGTGTTTCATCTGGTGATGAAACACTGTGCTTGATATTACTTGATATTACTTCTCAAACAAAATGATTTTAGAAGGAGAAATTAAGGACGCAAAAATGAGCACATTTTCATCTGATTTCCAAACCCTCATTAAACATCAATTTCCTTTGTATTTTCTTTATGAATTATTTATGAATTAGAGAAAGTATTTTCTTAATCAAATGACCCCCTCCTGTCCTTTCCATTTAACAGCTGTCAAAATGGGTGATCGGCTAACATCAAAGGTGTTGTTGCCGGCTCAAATTCATCACCCATCAAAATTCAATAACCACTGTACACTGTAACAGGTCAGTCTATAAATTTTTAGGCTTGGCTAAGTCCACATTATTCTCTGTCAATTAACCACAGCGGTAAATCAAAATTCCTTCACTATACACTTGGGAAGGAAAGTTTTGATTCTGTAATGAGTAACTGAAAGACTCAAAACAAACAAAAATAAAAACTGGAACGTTTTGTAATTGCGTCAATTTTCTTATGAAAGCAAAGAAAAACAGTTTAAGAATGGACCACACAAGACTGCTGTAGTGTTGATCACAGGCGAAAGTTAGGTACATGACTGTAGCATTATCACTAGTTTGTAAGTAAAAGTCTGACCACTAGTTTGTTGGCGCAATTAATGATAAGCCATTGACGTGTTTTAGTCATTGAACCCAAAAGCGAGACAAAGAGTATTACACTATACTTTTAAGTAAGTTGTAAAACTCTTTGCCGCCTCTTTGGGTTCACAACCTCGCCTTGAATCAAGGTACAGATTTTGGAGTTTGGGCAGGGGGTGGGAGGGGGGGGGGGGGTTGCATGGTGATTTGGAAAATTTTGCACACCTCTGAAAAAATCCTGGCTATGCTCTTGTCGAGTTACTTTGCATGACCTTTTAAAGTTTTCAACAACCTTAGGTTTAGCTGTCAGCTCTCGAAAATTTTCAAAACTTTCCTTGTTTAGGGAATTTTTTTTACCAAAATCAGTTAAACAGACACAAACGCTGGAGTCCACCAAAACATCTGCCATCCGTAATTATTATTCGACATCTCTATCTTACATTGTCCTTGCTTTGACGTCCGTAGTAAATAACTTACCAAACATAATAGAGCACTAAAGTGTGACGTCATAAAAATGAAATTTCTGAAATTATGGGATTTGTCAGGATATTCTGGAAGAACAATGTCCAGAGGCCTACTTGCCAAAAATGAGCATTTTGGGGCAAATTGTCTCTGAGATCGTAGCCCAGTTATGCTTACAAAACTCCATACAAACCCTTCTAAATTTTTTTTGGGTCGACCTAAAACAAATTTAGAAGGGTTTGTATGGAGTTTTCTGAGTATAACTGGGCTACGATCTCAGAGACAATTTGCCCCAAAATGCTCATTTTTGGCAAGTAGGCCTCTTGGACATTGTTCTTTCAGAATGTCCTGACAAATCCCATAATTTCAGACAAATTTCATTTTTATGACGTCATCACTTTAGTACTCTATTTTAATTGTTCATGACTTTCCACAATCAACAATTAAACTTCATGGCTTTCCAGGCCTGGAAAATGAAATTCTTAATTTCATTATTTTCCAGGTTTTATGACCCATACGAACTTAACCCTGCATTAAGGAAGATTTCTGCACTTACTTTCATCTGTTTTGTGCTGCCAGTTACATCTTTTTGAGCCTGAACAGCTGCAAGGAAAAACATTAATAGCTCATGAATTTCACTCCCTTTACCCCAAAGCCAACAAACTGTGATGGCAGCCGAACTCTTTGCCTTCTCCTTACCTTCTCTTATTTGTTTAGCCTTCAGTTTTCCTGGTTGTTGTAGCAAAATGCATGACACTGTTGATGGATTATCAAGACCCACAGCAGGAAATCTCAATCCATCTTTGACCACTTCCTGTGGATAAAAAAGGAAAAAAAAGGCCATGATCAGTCAATCGCAAATAGTATTTACTATGGACTGGCTTCATGATATTGAATAAATAAATAAATAAATAAATAACGAGTTAGTTGTAGCACATCCACTAAGTGGTTCTTCGTCTTCCAAATTCCTGGTCGAATTGCAATTTGTAAATGTTGGTTTTGGAGGAGAGGGAGAAACTGGAGTACCTGGAGAAAAAACATCGTGATGTATAATGTCAAGAGAGAAAAATGTAGCTTATTCTCTCTTGATAATGTACAATGTACAGTGTAACTACCACGGGACAAGCTCAGTTGACGGACAACAAAGACAGGGTCTGCAGAGTATTTTTGTGGGTTGTGTTTATGACTACACCAATGACCAAAATCTTATAGTACAGTCACCAACGGCAAGGGTACCTCCTTTACCCTCCAAGTGCAAGTGATACAGATGCTACGGAAAAGGGGGATATTGAACAAAGTTTCATATGGGGAGGTTCTGCCCTGAGGTCCAACCCCTAACCTTTTTATATACTGTACCATTTTTGACAGCAGAGATACCCCTTTCGTATACCTTCTATTGACAAATGATACACCTTTCACATACGTACCCAGTTTGAACTGCTGTAAACACACTTTCCTTAAACTGACGAGCAAATCATAAAACCAGAATGTTTTCTCGGCTCCGCCCACAGCCATAAAATTCATTTATTAACTCTTTAGGGCCTTTTTAAAGACCAAAATGACAGATTTTCCTAACACGGCTGTGCTCTAAGAAAAATTGAAAAAAAATTGAAGGGGGCCCAGTGCTGTGAACTTGTGAAATCCGGTGTGCCCAGCATACGATTTCTTTGAAAAAGCTAAGATTTGCTAGTCACATGAGAGCAAAAGTTAGGCACCACGGGCCACCAGGCTCTGCTAGAGCACAGCCTTTTATATACTTTAACCAGTGAAATCCCTACCCTTTCATATACCTGAAGCCTGAAAAAGATACCCGTTTTGGGCAGAGCCTCCCCATACATATATAGGCCATTATAGGGAGTACCCACAGGTACAGATGACCACAAATAAGACAGCAAAAGGACATGATGGCCTGTAAAACACATTTGCTTTTATTCTACCCACCTGTGTTTTATTTTCTCCTGGAGTCCACGGTCTGGTTTTTAGTTTCTTTAGTCTTGTTCTACCAAGAGGATCAATCAAAAGTGGATCCAACACTCCACTGGGTAGAAGAGGGGGCAACTCCTCAGTCCATTCCTTGGATTTTAATCTGTAAAATGCAATATTTTCAAGGGTATTCATAAAAAAAAAATTAAAAAATTGAGATGTTCCAGAAAAAGCTCTCTCAAAGAGGCTTTTTACTGTGAATCTCCATCCCTCACCCCCTGGAATTTTCACACTAAAAAATAATAATTCCCTTAAAATTTTGGCCTTTAAGTATCCGCTCCTCCTCAAAATTTGAATTTTAAAAAAAATTAATGTGAATTAATGTGAATCTCCCCCCTCACCACTCCTGGAAATTTCACATTAAAAGATAATAATTCCCTTAAAATTTTGGCCTTTAAGTCTCCGCTATCCCCCAAAATTTCCAAAGACCCTCCACAAGGTGGAAATGGATTTTCTAGAACAACACAGTGGGTGACAAAAGTAATATTGCCACTACTTTGCTTTTGTATCGCTTTGCTATGTGATCAGGAAATGACATTTTTAGTTACCAACAGCTGTTTAAACCTGAAAAATCTAAAACAATGACAATACATTCCTTGGCCAAAAGTAGTGGGACATTAGAGTGAGAGTCAAATGACTAACATGACGTGTCTCATAAGACTTACAGGTATAACTGAGATGGAAATAGAAGTAAAAGAAAGCAGTCATAATGGCCTGGGTCATGTAGCAGCTCTCCTAACCCTAAAAAGCCAATTGGTTTGAAATTACTGTGGTCATAATGCAAGTGTACATTTGCTTTCATTGGCCTAAAAAGCCAAAAATTTAGCATGTCAATAGTTCAGACTTGTTAGTGATATTAAAAAGGAACTGTGAAAAAATATCATCAAATGTGAACATCTCCAGAAACTATTAGAAACCAGTAAGACGAAGAATATTCATCAGCTGGCATATATAGGCTAAAGATGAACAAACCTCTTTGTAAGCCCAGGTTCTGATGTTCCAGTAAAAGAGCAGACAAGAGGAGCCATATTGAATTGGGATACCATGAGCTACGGATTCAAAAGAAAAAACAGTAAAAAGCTTGCAAATGCTCACTCAACAAGCAATTTAAGTCTTGAAGAATGGGTACACCAGTCTGAATTAAAGCCAAAAGAATGGCATGTATTGTCATTTTTTTTTAATTAGAGAAATCTTGAATATCAGATGCAATTTGAAATTAGAATAATTAAGAGCAAAAATGGAAACTATTATTAGTCAGTAGAATGTATGTTTGTGCTCTTCTTAGGTTCTGAGTTCCATCTTACAAACAATAGCTATCAACAGTGAATGCAATGATTATCCATTAAGTAATCTCACCTGAAGTTTCATATGAGCTGTGGAAAAATCCATTGGTGCAAAAGTCACTTTAATTTCAACCTCACTATTACCTCTCACAATTCCTAAAAAATTAAAACACAACGTACGAGCTTGACATAAATCATACACTTCCCAACAAAAGTCAGTTAAAAGATCTACAAAATAACATACATGTAGACATTAATGTAATTAAATATTGTTAATAAGGTGTCTGCCAGGATAAATGACCAGTTTTAAGTCCACAACAGCAAACTTTAACAATATATCATTATTCATATACAGCAGTATATAGATGTGATAAAGAAACATTGCATCTTTAGTTTACCTCAAGGATAGTAACACAGCTTTTAACATTTGGCTAACATAAATCAACAGCTGAGATCCAGAGCTTGAGATGAGGAAGGTGGGGATTCTTTATACAGGCCCAATGAACTACAATACCCTAGATGTAGTCAAAAATAAGGGGACCTGCAGGGGCCCTTCCCTAGATATGCCACTTACATGTTATATAATTTTATTTTAGCTAAAGGAAGCGCAAAAATTTATATCATGATAACAACTTTTGCTTACGCTGCGAGCAGAGGCTACATTTTCACTGGGTGAGCTAGCCTCTGCTGACAACTGTTCAATATTCTATAATTGTGCATGCACAAAATTCATCATCGCGATTCGCAAGCAAATTAATTGTCAGGTCTGTTGTCAAATGACACGAGTTTCACTGGAATAAAAAAATTGTGACAATTCTGATCTGCTAAGGAAGACTCACACAAGACTCATGCAATGCTCTAAACCAGTCAAGAACAAGAAAAAACTCGGGTTTTTTAATTTATTTGTCCAGATTTCTGGACAGATTTGAACGGTTGTCAGCAGAGGCTACTTTTCACATGACAGCTCAAACAGTGAAAATGTAGCCTCTGCTCACAGGGTAACTTTTGCTATGCTTAATAATATTATTCGCAGAGCATAGATTTTTCACGACAAGATACAGTCATAACACAAGCTCAACTTCTAATTGAGTGGTACTGTCATGTTACCTGACATAGGGTCCACTAAAAAAGCAGGGTGTGTCTGTACATGACTCAATGTAAACTCAAAATCAACAGGAATACTGCACTTGAGAGGAATCACATGGGTGATCCTGGAAAAGAAATACATAATGTTACTGTAAACACAAGAGCCAAATCCCATTCTTGTATATACATGTACTGGTATCTATTATAAGTCAATTAAAGTGAAATTCAAGTCAAAATTTTGTAACCTAGTTTACTTTTCAGTTTGCCTTGTTACCTCGAAACTCTATAATAATTTTATTATTAGGGTTAACTGAGACAAAGGAAGCTGAGAATGAACCAAAATTGAAAAACTTCAGCCTGAATTTAATTTTGACAAAATTGACCTACAAAATAACTGTAGTTTTGTTGGAAAAAGGAGCTTCATAGCTCTCCCCGATGACTTGCCCTTGATTAAAATGTTATCCTTATGAAATTCTTGAGCATCTAATTAACAGTTAATGTCATACATAGACATCATAACTGTACAGCATCTGCTTATTATCTTACTTTTCACCCAGTGGAACCAAAGGAAAGTGAACTTCTCTGGGAAAGCCGTCTGTATTCATCACAGGATAAGCATGAATAGGAATTACGAGGTTTTCCTCTGCCTTAAACAAGAAAAGTAACACAGAGACCACAATATCACTTCCCTTTGTCGAGAATAACACCATTTACTTATACAATGATGCATATTAAACTACCCAATTCTTGATTTATGAATGCAAGTTGGGCTCTTGTTTTAGGTCAGCACAAGGTTTAATTTTTCAATGTTCACTTTTTGGGGGGGTTAATTCCCATCTAGACTCGTTTTCTGATCATTGGTGTGACTGAAACCAGAAAAAATTGCATTGTTCCTGAAAACCAGGTGCTGGTTGTTTAAACATCGGATAGTGCTATCCCTAAAATACTCAGCCACTGGATGGTGGTTTATCCAGTGGATCAGTACTATCCAATATTGAACAACTGGGGCCTGGACAACAACATTCATTGTACATGTATTACATTTGGAAACTACAGCATCAGAATTAAGGCAGCAAATTGTATTTGTACTCATTCAAGACAAGGTTTATTTAAACTGTACCTTGGTGTGAATTCGAATGCAGTCATAATAGTATCTCCATTCATCTGGGGTAAACTCAACAACCACTTCAATAAACATTCCAGGAACAAGCTTTTCCTATGAAATAACAAAAACAAAATGATCAAAAATCAAAATCTCAAAGTGCAACAGAAGCTGCACTGGGGGTAGTTCTTATTGGCTATTACAGGCCTGCATACAGTACACCTAACAAAAATATTATTTTTTTCTAAAATATAACAATGAATAACACAGTCATGCTTAATATTGAAAGATGAGTAAATAAAATTACCTAAGCTGATTAATAAGCTTACCTTTTTTGTGTATTTGATGTAAAAATACTTTGTTGATGGTGGAAGGATGTGCATTCTTTGGCTTTCATCAGAAACATTTGCTAATCTCTAAGGGCAAATGAAAATAGAGGAAAAAATCAGGAATATTCTCGCTGATCAGGGCTAAGCTTTCAATGTAAAATTGCAAGCAACGAAAGAAATCTGCTTCTAACTGAATAAAATGCAAATTAAACTAAAAATATATAAAATATGTTACTTACAAGGGTTCGGGTAGTTTTTTTACCAACTTGAAATCCAGCAAAGTGAATCACCGATGGTCTGGCTTGCACAATCGAGTTTTGTCCAACTTTGGCATAAATTTCTACAGAAACAAAGTTTGAGTGTCAAAAATATCACCGTTAAAATCCCAACAAACATTTGTCCTAGGAAGACTAGAATCATTTTCTTCTATTTTCTAATATTCTTACTTGTTTCCAAGAGGTGATTAGGAACGGATTTTTGGATCACAGGAGCCACAAAGCTATCAAAACTCTCCGAAACCATCGCTCTTGTGCGGGCCACCGCCATTTTGAAAATCCCTTTCTCCCGACGAGTAGTCATGGAAACAAGGTAGCAAGAGGCAATCAGCCCCAGTCTCCAAAATTTATACTTATGTCGAAATTTGTCTAAGACAGCCTGGGAACAAGCACATGTTTTCCTTCCTCCCTCTGTGGCGCAATCGTATCAAATTTTGTTTGCTGTCGTGGAGAACGATATTGAAAATTCCTGTTAAAATTTTTGGGGGAAGACGAGAAGTATGCCTTCAGAAGCGGCAAAGAAACGTCAAGCAAAAAAGAAAGCCGCAGCTCAAGCGAGAGGAAAGCCGAAACCTGCGGCAGAAACAACAGAAAATGGTGTAGAAGATTCACGAGGGACGGAAAATGGCGCCGTCAAGTTGGATTTGTCGAGTCGTTCCTGCACCGGCGTTTTGGCTTCACACTTCCAGTCTCGAGATTTGAAGATCGAAAACTTTTCGATAACTTTCCACGGTGTTGAACTCTTAACAGATACAAAATTGGAGCTGAATTGTGGTCGTAGATATGGTTTATTGGGCCTTAATGGTTGTGGTAAGTAGATTCGAATTTCGAATACAAACGTGTCTTAATAATAAAGTGATTTCACTAACTATAAACATTCTCAAATTATTTCACACGGAAAATTTCTTAATTTTTCAAATGTTTCTAGTCTTTTAGAATAAGGATGTACGTGTAGACGTCTCTTTAGAGAACAATGATGTATTATACTTGTCCCCTGGCTTCCACTTGGTCCAAAAAATTTTTTTGAGGGAACTTTTTTCCCTCCGAGCTTGTTAAGCTGAATTTATTATAGACTGAACGAATTAAACTGAATTCTTTCCCTTAACTTCAGCTTACTTTTAATTTCCTCTCTTTTAAAGCGTAGGGGTTTCGATCCATAAACGAAAGCACTTTGTTCTCAATTTGTACTTACTCACTTACAATATAATGACCAAAATATCCTTTAGCACTGTGTTTCGTTAGAATATCAAAATAAAATTGCTTATGTAGTTAAGCTTACATATTATAAGACGACAGCACTGTTTTGATTAATTAGTTCATTTGGTGTGGCTTCACCATGTTACAATGTATTTCACAGTAGCAGCTACATATACCTGTAGGATTTTCCTAGCTTTCTACCACAGAATTTTTATTTTATTTTTACAGTCGACTCCTGATAACTTGAATCTTCCAGGGAAATTGCAAAAAGTTCGAGTTATCAGGAGTTCAAGCTATTGGGAGTTCAAAGTAAATACTACCATTAATGAGGAAATGGCATGGGAATATGGCGTTATATCCCCGCCAAAATTCAAGTTTTGTTTTTAACATTTAAGTTTCCTTTTTAAATCTCATGTTTACGATTTAGATCTGAACTTTTATATACAAAATTCCTACTTTGAATTCAACATTGTACCTTATTGTAATCATTTCAAGTTCTAAGATGCGAGAAAAAGATTCAAGATTGAAGTTTTCGCTTCAACAAGCAAGTCTTTGCTTCAACATTCAAGTATTTGCTTCAACATTCAAGCCTTCATTTGAACATTCAAGTTTCTTTACAACAACCAAGCCTTCGCCTCAACATTAAAGTCTTCGCTTCAACGCCGTGTCTTTGTTTTCAGCTTTCTCAAAGATGCACCAAACAACATACGAGTTTTGAATTCAACCTTCAAGTTTTGAATTCAAACTTCGAGTTTTGATTTGAACTTCACGCTTGATCAACTCGGTCACATGACTATACCCAAGGTCAGGCATGCGCACTGGTAGCCTACCCAACATGCTTTGTTGTCTTCGTATTTGAAAGATGGCGGCCGCCACAGAGAGACGAGATTATTTATTTCTCCACCGAACTGTACTAGAAACTATTTCCAGTTTAGACAACATGTTAGATCCATCACAAATAGATAGTGTAGTATTGAGGCTAGATTGCGTGAAGCGTTATCTAGTAAATATCAGTGATGACTCGCAGACAGATGCCATCATCACTAATCTTGAACAAGTTATCGAGAGCCTACAAGAGGAAAGACAACAATACGAAAACGTACAGGGTCATCCAATGGCCGCCAAGCTTATCAAGCAAGGACGTGGACGGCCTAGTTTTGACATTAGGGAAGAAACGTTGTCATTTTTTCTCGAAAACAGCTTCAAAGTTCCGGTCATCGCTCAACTGCTAATGGTTTCCTCTCGCACCGTCGAAAGAAGGATGAACAAATATGGGTTGACAGTGTCAGGTTAGTGTATTAATAGCTTTTTTCCAGTACGTGATGTGTTGAATGACGTGTGTAGCCATTCAGTTCAGGTTTTTAATAGCAAGTAATATTTATATATTTATTTTGTTAAATTTGACCTTGTATGTGCATTAGGCCATTACATTTTTATTATACCGACCCTATCAAGGGCCAAGGAAATCTTGCTGGGAGGGGAGGGGGTATTTTCATGGATTTCTCGGGGTCATCCCAAGGGTCATTTTCATTTGCGTTCTCCTTACATGTTTTTTGCACTGTCTTTACAATATTGCGCCCTCCTTTCATTGACTCTAAGCTTCCTTACATTGCGCCTGCGCCCTCCTTACAATTTTGTGCCTGTGCCCTCCTTACAATTTTGAACCTTCCTTACAATTGCACTTCCCTTACATTGAACCTAATGAAGGAAATTTTAAATTAATGTGGAATGGTCCATAATTGACCAATGGATAAAAAGAACGTGGTATTGTTGTATTTCATTTTGTTGTTGATATGTCGAGAAGTTCCCAGAACTTGTACCATGACACTCGTATTTTTTAAATAAACTTGTTTGGTATAGTTTTCTTACAATACATTTAATTTCTTAAAATTTTATTATTTCTTTTTTTAACGCCCTCCTTACGTAGTTGCAAGGTGTCTCTAAGTGATGTTTGACATAGTTTAAGAGTGTTCGGGAGCATTCTAGACCTGTTTTGTAAGATTTCAAAAATTCTGATTTTTTGGGCTGCCAGCCATCTGAAGTTTTTTTTTTAAATCTGAGGAGTATTTTCTTAAAACAACCACCCAAAGGGGGTATAAACATTTTCTTCTAAAGCGGTTTTGCAGGAAACCCCTCAATAGGGGTTGCAGATGTAAAATAAAAAGGCCCATTTATGACAATTTAAATGAAATTGCTTTCGTCATGTGGGATATTTGTGTCTATCTGTGTTAAGCCCCAGGCTTACCAGGGTTGGGATTTTGACAATGAGATGATGCCCCAAGCCCTACATGTATGGGTTCATGAAGTGTAGAGACATTATGAAAAAGATGCCTTTGCAAATTAATCCCTGATTGAACTTGAAACTGTATATATGATTACCTATGCAAATTCCATCCTTTGACTTAACATTGATACTGTAGGTGCATAACACTTGCTGAGGAAATGATCATTTCAAACAGTCATGTACCATCACTGATGAATTCTAGAATTAGCACCCAAAGAGGCTGTCTCCCTCAGAAATGACCAATGATTTTGGTTTGAAAAATAAATTTCTCTGTTATATGCAGCCTTTGACGTGGATCTGTACATGTATATGATGGTTACTAACATAAAATGTCATAAAGAAGGAAATTGTTGTGAGGGTCACATGTTTTCTTTTTTTTTTTTCAAATGGGGGGTCATGAGTTTTCTTTTGAAAGACTGGGAAGGATCAAGACTTTTCTGAAAAAATACTCAAAATTCCCCAGCACCCCCCAATAAAAGCATACCTTCCCTAATTGAGGCTTTATGGTATGTATTTTACCTAATGTTGTGTTTGAATAATCCTGATTTTTAGGAACCTATAGCAATATTAATGATGAACAACTGGACAATCTTGTTCAACAAGCTCAGAGGGAACAACCAGGCATAGGACTAAGATTATTGATGGGAAAATTAAGAAGCAAAGGTGTAAGGATGCAGTGGGAAAGGCTGCGGTATTCTCTGCTCAGAACTGATCCAACAGGTGTCCACCAAAGATGGAGAAAGGCTATTCATCGGCGAAAGTATTGGGTGCCAGGTACACTTGCATTGTGGCACATTGATGGAAACCATAAACTGATAAGGTTGGTTTACAGACCAGAATAATAGGTTAAAGCTGAATGCCAAAAATTATCATGGGGCATGATAATGCTGCTTTAAAGTGGTGAAGTCCTTGATCTTTATCCCTCGGTCACTGGATGTTCGGGTAACTGTAGTGTGGCTGGGGGCTACTGGGACCATGTGATGGCAGATGACTTTTATTTAGATTTTTTTAAAATTATTTATCCCATTGCAGTTTCACTAATGACAACAGCAGCATCCCACTAAAATTATTTTCTGGTGTTTTGTGCTATCTTTTATGAAGTTTAGGGCTTCCCTTGTCTTGCAGGGATGAATTTTTGTTCATGTATTAATGGAAGCAAGTATGTGCATATATAAGCAACTGGTAGTTACATGTATTGTTTAAAAGGGTTAACCTTTTGACCATCAGACTGGCTTGATTGTTTTTGCTGGGACCTGGCTTATCTTAGACTTTTGGTATCTGCATAGCAGACAGTTAATCCCACTTCAAAGCAGCTTTAGCATGTCCCATGATTATTATACAAATGAGGTACTTAAATCAGGCTCTACTTTGCAGCACCATTGGAGCTTGGTTTGGATTGGATTTTAATCACAAACAAATGACTCGCACTATAACCATCAAAACACAAAGTAAATGATACTCACCAATCTGATATTCATAGTGATTGATCACTCCCATGTAACTGCAGCACCTGGGTACAGATCCAGGATTTACACTAAAGGGGGCATTGGTGAAGATGTGCATCAGTAAAGGGACATATGAGCATACTGAAGTGATTAGTATGAAGCGACAGTGCAAAACCCTTCCTGAATGGGGGTTTGCAGTAACTGATACTTCCTACCTCACTCATTCATTTTCAGAATTTCCACTACAGCTTGTGAACCCAACTCAGTACAGTACGTCATACTGTCTATGAAGTAACCTACATTTTGTTATCAGAAAGTATGTTTTCAGTGTTGGTAGTAAGGAACTTCTTCATGTTAAAATAGTTATTTTTTGCTTTGTTTAAATCGCCGCCAGTCATACAGTGTATGGGGCTCCACGCAGCTCTTAGAACGAGTTGTTTTATTGGCTCATCAAACAGTAGATGAATGACCTAAACAATGCCCCTATCCCTAAAAACAATAGCTGTGCTTTACAAGGCCAATGGAAATAGAGGTTTTCGAGAGCTGCATGGTATCTTAATCATACTGCTTAATTTGCTGTGGTTGTTGTATAATTCTTTCTAGGTGGAAGATTGTTATCCATGGTGGCATTGACGGGTATTCCAGAATGCCTGTATACCTGCATGCTTCAGACAATAATAGATCCTGTACAGTTTTGCAACTTTTTATCAAAGCTGTTGAGGAGTACGGACTGCCCTCTCGTGTGAGGTGTGACCAAGGTGGGGAGAATTTTGATGTTGGGACATATATGTTGGAACTTCGTGGAACTGGCCGTGGCAGTATTATAGCAGGTAAAGTAATATTTATTTTGACTTGAAGTGGCTTTTGGCTGAGATCTAACAGTTTTTATTATATGGAATATAATTTTGCTAGCACCTTTTCTTTTAGGAAAGAGCACACACAACCAAAGGATTGAGCGTCTGTGGCGTGATGTCTTTGAAGGATGCTTGGATTTGTTTTATCAAATATTCAATTTTTTAGAGAGGAATGGATTTCTTGATGTCTTGGATGATGTGCAAATGTGGTCTCTCCACTATGTTTATGTTCCTATACTAAACAGGCATCTGGAGGCATGGAAAAATGCCTGGATTTATCATCCCTTAAGAACTGAAGGAAACAAATCCCCACTACAGTTATGGATTCATGGTCTTAGTCATACAATGCTGATGACATCCGGAGATCAAGTACAGGTAATAGGCTTATATCAAATCTTGCACATCCTTTACCGAATGGAGGATGTAATAACTGGAGAAAAGTAATATTAGCGGGAATAACTTCACACAACAATTTGTTGTCCCCAAGCGCCATAATTTCCTATATGCACAACAACATAACCCTTATACTAATTAATAACCTTCCATGTCATCCTGTACAGTATATATGTCCACATCTATACAAGCTTCTGCACTTACATGTGATTCCTCCATCGTACAGCCCACTAAGGCCCTCTTTACATGGAAAGAGGATGATCCTAGTGCTAGGATGATCCTAGCAGATTCATTTGGTTTACATGCAAAAATGCGGCACTAGGATGATCCTAGCGCTAGCATCATCCTACCTCTCAGATAGGATGATCCTAGCGCTAGGATCATTGTAGCGTGCAACCATTCGCATGTAAACTGAAAGCAGAAAACATGTCGCGCTCGGATGATCCTAGTGCTAGGATCATCCTCTTTCCATGTAAATAGGGCCTAAACCCCTTATAACCCTGTATATCTCTATACTCTGTTCATCGCTTTACTGCCATGTACAAATGGCCGTTAACTCCATAACCCTGTGCATTTCACTTTCTCCTGGTCTCATATAATACCCTGTACTTATCTATTCAACCCTTACACGAATTATACAACCCTGTATTACTATTCTTCCCTCGTCCTACAATAACTCCTCAATAGTCCAATAAAATACCAGGAGCTCCGATCTGGTTTAATTTGACACCTCTATGAGATGGCTCATCGGAGCCTTTGAATTTGTTTGACCATTATAGCTGTTTCATATTCATACAATTTCTCAAGGCATGAACTTAAAGACCTGCGCCAATGAGTCCTTCTTTTCCACTAAAAGTTATGACAAAACTGTACTAAACCAACAAACAGATAGCTGAAAGTGTTAAAAATCAAACTTTGACCTGGGTAAGCTGTTATGGTATATCCTACCATCTAAGCTTGCTTGCTTTATTACAGAACCAAAGGGATTTCACTTACTATGGAGTTGATTGGAGTGGACCAGTAGGCAGTGCTGGGGACAATGGGCAAGTTGAAGTGCCAGTTACAACATGTCCACTCAACACTGCAGAGCTACAACAGCTTAAAGAACAAATTGATCCCTTAGTTGATGACAGCAATTATGGCATAGACACTTTTAACGAAACAGTGCGTGCAGTTGAGAGAATTCTGCAAAGTCGAGCTCGCGGTGTTTCACCATAAATGTATTTGTATCTTCCAGTTTATGAAAATGTGATACTTTCTATGTAAGATGTTGTGTGAAGCTTTCACTGAAGTTGGTGAATGTCAGCATGCCTAGTGAAAGGAAGGCTAGTGTGCTCTCTTGCAATGTAAATGTTCCCTTGCTGGTGCATCATTGGGTCCCCCTTAGTGCAAAACTCTGGACCCTCCCCTTTAATGGTATTCATTTAAGTGGAAAGAATGAGGCTGCATGCAAGTAGCATCTTTTTATTGTAACTCAATTTTTCAAAGATTGATACAATGTCAAAAGAGTTGTATGTGGCAAATAAACATTTGTACTATTATCCTTTTTTTAATGTACAAGAACTATAGAAAAAACAGTAACTTACCTTATTGTAACCATACATGATAAATATCTTGAATGCTGTATATTGTACTTATCTGTGCATGATACATGTAATGCCTAATTAAAAGAAAATGTTTATTCCTCTTAACAGTACTGATTCTCGCCCAACCAATCAAACTGCTGTCTTCTCTTTGACAAATCTAATAGAATTTATAATATAACATGTGAACAAATGTGATGGGCAGGACAGTACTTCTATAAATTCAATCATGAGTTGATAATGTATCAAGGTCTGATTACAGCCTTCATTGAAAGACTAAAGTAATTCAAGAAAAAAAAATCCTGAACTGAAACATTTTCACTGAAAAAACTGGAATCAATCTAAAAAAACGTACATGCATGCTCTCTTCACCAGAACAACTTCATTAAGTACCTGTAACTTTAGTTCCTAGAGCATGCTCCAGTCTAAACACTAGAAAAGGCTTTTCCATTGCTATCACACACAGCCGTGAGTGAAGAAGAAAATGTACCTTGGTCTGGAAAGGACCTTGGTAAGGTTACACGAAATGAACATGTGGATGAGAATATAGATTCTGTATCATCGAACCCTATCTTGATGATACCTAGCCCGAACAGAGGTAGCCCTGGTGAACCTGTGGCAAAGACTAAGAAGGACTTCAACTCATCGATGGATGCATCTCTAAGAAACTGTAGCATGTATTCTTTGATGTTCTCCTCGTTTGTGTTTAAATCTGATGGGAACTGCAGTTGACCCTTGATGTCATTGGCAGTCACTTCCTTGTCTCCTGCTACAAATAATTCTTTAAAGACGTCTGGATACAATTCCATCCTTTTTCCAAAGCCAAGGGTCTTTAACCCCTCCCTCAGTTGGTCTAGCACCATCTTTGGCTTTGCAATAGCATCATGGACTATCAGGTTTCGTATCACCCTCATCTTGTTGTCATTCTGAAAAAGGGGCAATGGAGCATGAATTTGTAGCCATTTTTAAGAAGTTGAATGGATTTGACAGATTTAGTAGCACTTTGTCCCCTGCCCATAAACTCGAAGATTTTAACTGTTGGGCCAAAAATCACAATTTCACCACACTCTAGCCTGATTATCAGATATTCCTTGATCTTTTGATTTCAAAATGCACGGACCACCTAATAATCAGGCTAAGCAATTTCATTTTATTTATTATCTCAAAGATAAGAGGTACTGAAACTTTTAAAATGTATTTTTAAACTGGCTAATCTACATGTAAGGGTATCTTCAGACAAATGAAGCGATTTTACCAAATGGTCACTGAAATGAGATTCTAGATTCTTACAGTCATCTGCTTAAAACTCAAGGAAACAATCCTTACTGTCAGTTTCATGGTAAGTCCACAATTTGCAAGAATGGTTGTTACTTCCTCCTCGTCAAGATTGGCAACATCTTCTGCTTCTGCAATCTGAAAATTTAACAAGCAATGAAATCAATGAAAATAATTTGACCCCCTAAGTATCAACCTCAGGGAAATGGCTAGTCACTGCTTGAAAGGTTACAAAAAATGAAACAAAGGTAGGCAGGATTGCATATGATTATTATCGAATTTCAATACTGGAAGGCTTCACACCTTGTATCATGCAGGTTGCTACTTAAAAACTTGTATATTTCCCTTACATTGTAATTGCCACAGGAATATTTCAAAATGTAGTTAAAAATGATATTATGGGATTATAGGGGTAAGGGGAAGGAAACTTGCTTAGGAAAACTAGCAGGCTCATAAACCTCCGCTTCCAGACTGCGAACGTCTGTGAGGGGCTGTGTCTGGTGTAACAGTACACAACGGATTTTACATTGTATTGTCTTTGTGATCTATTGTTTTCTTGTAGTTTATTGTTTAGTCTTTGTTTTGTTCTTTTTGTTACTGGTACACGAGGACAGAACAGTTGATTAGGAAAATAAAAATAATGTGTCGTGTCATACTGCAAATTGTTTATTACCTTTGAAATAAAATCTCTCATCTCTAAAGAACAATCAATCACAGCAAGGCCGTCAATTGCTTCCTCTACATTGCCTGTAGCCAAGTAATAGTATATTCCTGGGCTAAAAACAGGAAGACCAGGTCCTCCCTGCAGTATGCTATGCACAATTATTGTACCAACTAACTTCATGAGTCCAGAGGCTACAGTATCACTGTTGTAGATAGGGCTGCAGTATTCTTTTCCCTGGAAAAATGTCTCGGTAATTCCAGTAAGGAGTTGGGTATAGAAGTGACGCACAACACCACCTGTATCAGCTGCAGCTTGGCCGGTGTAAACAATTCGAAGTCTTTTCGATGGATTGAAGTCACTGTCCTTGTAGTATGTCATTGCATCATTCAGCAGATCTTCTTCATCTACTTTCAGTTTCTCCTTTTGGCCATTATCAAAATTCTTTTGCAGATCATGCAATTCTTCACTAAGGGAGCGTGGTCCTTCAAATACAGAATCCATTAGATCTGAATCGTCATCAGACAACTCTAGAGACGTCTTAGATTGTAGTAATGTGGTCACTGCCTGGCGTAAAGTTCCCTGGACTTTTAAGCAATTCTCTAGTTCTTTTCTGGTTTCATTTGGGAACATCTCTGACAACTTGTCAATATCTTCCTCTGTAGCAGATGCATTTGACCCTGCACTAGATGTTGATGGAAAGGCCAAGGGGTCGTCTCCATTACCATCACTGCTAGAAATCAAAAACATTTTTGTCAGCCTCTCCACCCCAGGGTACTATCTCACTGGATTGATTTATTATTTATCACTTTCTTACAAAGGGGGAGTCGTTGGCATCCTAGGATCCCCTAACAACATACCATAAATCCTCTATTCCCCCCATTGGTGCAAGAAATTTATTAAACCCCCCCTCCCCCTTTTTTCTTCACAACCAAAACAATAAATGACAGACTGTATTACCTGTACATTTATACAATTCTAATCTGGGCAGGAATTCACATACACAACACTCACGAGCTGTAATATAATCATAATTACAGCAATCAATGAGTGGTGAACTGCTGTTATGTCACCAAATTATAATAAGCCCTACCCCCTCTCAAATAATCTCCCCCTGTCTATTAAGCCCCCTCCCTATTAAGCCACCCTTAAATGCACTTAAAATAAATAAGCCCAGGGTGGGAGGGGGGGAAAGGGGGTAATAGTGGATTTAAGGTGGATATATTAAAAAGATATGATTCCCCTACCTTTCGTTGAACAAGACATGATCACTCATCGTTGATTGTCGCTTTAAATGTAAGATAATGATAACATATATTAACTGGTAAGCAAATGTGTTATCTTTTTTCAGAGCTTTGTTCTGTCTTTCTCTGGGACAAATTTCTTTTGCAAAAAAAATATCAAATGTCCAAAAATAACTTTAAAATCAATGTCCACGACACTTTACTCCGAATACTTTCAGAAGAAAATGATTATATTGATTTACCCGACTTAATAACAAAAATTTCCTGAAAACTCGGCTTCTTATATTTGCAATGTCCGTGATTGTAAACTTAATTAAATTGAATTTATTTATATTTATTTGCTTATTTATTGAACTACTCTTTTTCTCTAGTCTTTCTTGTGATCTATTTGTATATGTATTTTCTTACGTGTAACCACTGCTCGCCTCGACTAGCTAATCTGCTAACTGCGGGCAGTGGATATTGCTTTTTGTAAATTTGTGATTATTAATAAACAGTTGAAACAGTAGTGACAAAATTTATGTATTTTCACATGACTTCTTGATGACATCCAGAATTGGCCATTGAAAGCCATCTTTTGAAAGCCAAAATGTGAAGAACTGAGTGTTATGCTAACTATATTGTGCATCAGGTAAGGATATTGATCCTATATACATGTATTCTAATGAACAGTACCAATCTTTTCCTTGGGTGATGCTGTTCTTGGTGATGCCTTAGTTTTCCCATGTCAATTTCTTGGTCGCACTGGACACACTTGACCTTTGGTTCATCCTGTTAAATCAATACAGTCTGTCATATATGAGAAACATGTTATACTAATGTCGGGTCTCCATGATTTTTCTGTGACATATATTCCTTTGTGTGGACGAAACAGAAAATATTTGCTGTTCTATGTGCCAGTCATGACTTTGGACAGCAGAGATACAAATAAAAACAAGGCTGTCATTTTGGTCACACTGGGGCTTGGAAACAATTGGCAACATCATAATTGCCACATTTTATGTTTACATGGACAAATTTTATTTGCCACATAAAAACTAACATGCCAGCTTTTCAGCAAATATTTTGTCAAATAAAAAATTGGGCAAGTTTCCTCATTTTTATTATGCAGATAAAAAAATCGGGAAATTTTCCTCAAATGAAGAAATAAAATAAAAACTACCACATGCACAATTTAACATAAAAAGTGCTCGTTTAGACGAGCCCGAAGTCGTATGAAAAAAAATGCGTGTCTTCATCTGAGAACACAATGGAGCCCATGCTACTTGCTCCCACTAAGGCTGGATCACTGCCCAATTCCTGTGTCACTGCTATTATCTAGTTGGTCAAGGAAAATACTGAGCTTCCCAGGTACTTACAGGCTTGTTACTGACTGTCTCAAATAATATTGTCATTTGCACGATTTGCAGAAAGTATGTGTAGAAAAATGGAAACTGAATTACAAAATAAATTACTCTCATTGAAACTATCCAGTTAATAACTTAGGTCTTTTCATTGCAGAGTGACTGGTCTTTTTCTGGTACATGTTTAAACAGTAAACCACTTATGTTTTTATTCTGACCTCTTGGGCAGGATGCATCATGTTGTCCATACTTGGGTCTTCTGCATCCAGAATGTCAAGCTGTAATGGCCTGATGTAAACCACAGAAGCATTTGCAATTTCCTTTATCCTTGATGGAGTATGTGGTGCTGGCAGATGATGAAATCCATGCTCTTCACCGCCTCTCTGGTAGAGAAGGAGCTCATAGCCACCAGCATGAGAGAGTCTGGGATACCTCTCTAAAAGTTTTGAGTGTATTGCATTCCCATTCATTTCAAAAGTCATGCTTGATGGCCCTAAGCCAGAATTTGCCAAGGCAGTCTTCGCAGCGACAGAGGTGGGGGGCTTGTCACTGTCAACACAGCCCAGACAGCAGAATTTCATGGTACAGGTTGGAATTTTTTTTATTGGAGCCTTTCCTTTTCCAGTCATCCTTGTCTTCCCCTTCATGTAGTGAAACACTCTACTATGCTCCTCTGATGGACTAATTGCAGTTGTAGCGAGTCTACCAAGTGCAGCCGGAAGTGGTACACTGGGACTGTAATTACTTCTTGTACTAGAAATTGAAGGCTGGCTATGTTGTGCAGGAGTGTTGGCTGGTGGAACAGACTGTGAAGTACTAGCCCCTAAAAATATAAACTGATAATCTAAAAAAGAATACCACCAATGCTGGAAAAGTGGAATCTGGAGATTATGAGTATTCTGATTTTGACCTTTTAAAAGTCGCTTGCTGTCAACACTGCTTAAAACTGTACCCAATACTGCTGTAATATGCAGTACTGGTGTTATAGTGTACGAAATTTAATATAAACTGATAATCTAAAAAAGAATACTACCAATGCTGGAAAAGTGGAATATGGGGATTATGAGTATTCTGAATTTGACCTTTTAAAAGTCGCTTGCTGTCAACACTGCTTAAAACTGTACCCAATACTGCTGTAATATGCAGTACTGGTGTTATAGTGTACGAAATTAAAAAAAAAAACATGTAAGCTTTTTTAAATATGTAAATTTACTCGAATTTTAATTTCACACACATCCGTTTTTCCCTATTAAAGACTCATGTAAATGACTTTTTCAGTCTACTCTTTTTATACTATACAGTACCTCAATAAAAATATTTATAACATATGAATTCATAATAGAAGTTTTAAAACGTTTCTGCCATTATAAAGTTGGTAACTGATCAGAATACCCGGCCCATTCATTTACATTTGTCGGTTCGTTTTGTACTACTAACTATGTTTTGTAGAACGAGGCAAATAACAATAGGCACTATTCTTATTCAATGAGATGCAAATAAGTGGGCCGGGTATTCTGCAATTTAGCCCTATAAGGCTATAGTCTAAGACTGTGTGCGAGTGCAAGGTCAAAGAAGTTGGAAAAATTCAGTGATGACAGCTGTTTCATGCTCTTTAAAATAAAAAATCTTCTTTAAATTGAAATCAAGCTTACCATCGTTCGCCATAGAGAGTAGCTGCTCTGCGACTTGGCGAAGAGTTTCCCTTTGAAAATTGCTCATTGCGACCTCGTGCTTCGTGTCAGACCGAAACGCTCTGTTTATAGTAGCAAAGCATGTTGGGTAGGCTACCAGTGCGCATGCCTGACCTTGGGTATAGTCATGTGACCGAGTTGATCAAGCGTGAAGTTCAAATCAAAACTCGAAGTTTGAATTCAAAACTTGAAGGTTGAATTCAAAACTCGTATGTTGTTTGGTGCATCTTTGAGAAAGCTGAAAACAAAGACACGGCGTTGAAGCGAAGACTTTAATGTTGAGGCGAAGGCTTGGTTGTTGTAAAGAAACTTGAATGTTCAAATGAAGGCTTGAATGTTGAAGCAAATACTTGAATGTTGAAGCAAAGACTTGCTTGTTGAAGCGAAAACTTCAATCTTGAATCTTTTTCTCGCATCTTAGAACTTGAAATGATTACAATAAGGTACAATGTTGAATTCAAAGTAGGAATTTTGTATATAAAAGTTCAGATCTAAATCGTAAACATGAGATTTAAAAAGGAAACTTAAATGTTAAAAACAAAACTTGAATTTTGGCGGGGATATAACGCCATATGGGAAAGGAATGCTAGTTTCATCAACACTTCACTTCAAAGGCAGCCAGAGATAATTATATTTAGAAAAAGGAATTAAGTAATAAAGCTTGATCAATAGACAGGGCTAGATAAAAGACAGAAAAGACTGACAAAAAAAGTCACAGAATACACGGTTGTTTTGAAATAAGTTCCATGTTTCAGACAGCAGTACACTGTTTGTTTTTTTTTTTGCCATGTACTTTGAGCATGGTTTCAAGTTATTGAGGGTAAAATTATATAGAAATGACCTGAAGGGAAAAAGAAATTACCTCGAGTTAGCGGGAGGTTCGAGTTACTAAGGGTAAAATTGTAGTAAAAGTGTGAAGGAAATCCAAGGGAAATCGATTTTGGTTCAAGTTAACACGAGGTTCAAGTTACGAGGGTTCGAGTTATCGGCAGGCAACTGTATGTAAAAAGAAAATATAATTATTGTTGTGGGTGTTAAGCATGGTAAATACATGTATCATTTTGACCTTTACATGCATGATATGTTGCCTTTAAAGATTGGTTTTCATGGCATGCCGCTCTTTGCTATTTTCTAAATACCATTGCCTTTGCTATCAGTTTTGGACTGATTTGTTATTTTTCTGTGTAGGTAAATCAACTATGCTTGAAACAATAGGCAACAGAGATATCCCAATTCCTTCCCACATTGACATTTTTCATCTCAAAAATGAGATAGAAGCATCTGATAAGACAGCTCTTCAATGCGTCATGGAGGTTGATGAGGAAAGGATGAGGCTTGAAGCAGAGGCCGCTGAACTCACAAAACTTGGAGATGAAGGAAGTGAGAGGTATAAATGCATGTTTATTGCTAACATTATCAGCTTCTTGAAAGATAAGCACTCACCCTCCTACTAATATTGTATTTTAACAGGGTGCAAAGAAAATCATTTTTACAGCTTGCCATTCCAGCAAGCTGAAGCTAGCATTTACTAACCCAGACGCCATTTCAACTAGCCTCAAAAGCTTTTTGACGAGCGTAATTAATTCCACAGTTCTTCCTTTATTTGAATTGCTCAAAAAACATCACTTGTCCGTCGGGCAAGTTAAAAACAGAATTCACTAGCCCGATAGCAAAATCCACTAGCCCCAGGCTATCGGACACTACTTTCTTTGCACGCTGATTTTAATGTGTGTTAGGTTTATTTTGGTTTATTTAGGCTGCTGCCAAAGAAAATGGTTCTTTTTTCCTTTCCTTTCTGTAAATTTGTGTCTCTTCCCCTGCCTTGATTAGGCTCTCCTATACATAGGTGGAAGCTATCGTGAAATTGTAAATTGAGATTGAATGAATAAAGTTGAAAGTTGAAAGCTGAAAGTTGAAATGGTTTTGGAAGCTCTTAGGGGCTCCTTAAGTAAAAAGTTAGGAGCCAAGCCAAATTTCTAGGAGCCCAGAGATCGATAAACTTAAATAAGTAAGCAGATCCTCGAAACTCGATTCAAGTGCCTCAAAACTCAATTCCTTCGAGGTTTAAAAATGCGTGAATCAACTTTCAAGTCTAAGACAACAATCATTCCCTCTGATATGATGAGAAAACTCTTAGTCTTCTGTTAAATTCCTTTGGTTTAAAAGCAAACATAATCATAGCCAGTAGATCAGAAATCTTTCTCGGCTTTTTCCCCCCAAGGTGCATCCTTTTTCTGTAGAGTTATCAGGAAGATTTTAAAAGAGCCATGTCTGCTGGTTTTGATAAGAAAATAAATATTGAAGTGACTGTGAGGAAAGATCAACATTACTTTAGTGTTATGTCATAAGGGCTGAAACTGTGATTTTAAGTTGCCAGGTACTGTATGCAATAAGTAGGCAAGGAAATGAACCGTAAGGAGGTTCTTTTGTTTCTTTTTCCTTTTGCATCCCATGAAATTAGCTGAGGGTCGTAATAAGAGTAACCAGAGAAAATACCCAGCCCATGCAGGGTGCAAAGAAAGTCGGTTTTACGGCTTGCCATTCGGACAAGTTGTTGCTAGTATGTACTAGCCCAAGAGTCTTTTAAGTAGCCCCCAAACATTTTTTGATTAGCAGCATTAATTACAGTTCTTCTGTAATTTGAATTTCCCCAAAAACTTCACTTGCCCTTCAGGCAAGTAAAGAACAGAATTCACTAGCCCAATTGCAAAATCCAGTAGCCCAGGGCTATCGGACACGACTTTCTTTGCATGCTACCAAGGCCCTACAGTGACAGCCCTGTATTATGGCACTATTAAATCATTATTAATTTCTTGTAGGTTATTAGATGTCTTTGAAAGACTTGACGAGCTTGATGCAGACAAGGCCGAGACCCGAGGTGCTGAAATCCTGAGTGGTTTAGGCTTCACTCCGTTAATGCAACAGACTAAAACCAAAGATTTCTCTGGAGGTTGGCGCATGAGAATAGCGTTAGCAAGAGCCCTGTTTGTAAAACCAACTCTTCTGTTATTGGATGAACCCACAAACCACTTGGATTTGGATGCTTGTGTTTGGTTGGAAGAGGAGCTGAAAAGGTCAGATGGTTTAATTTTATTTGTCATCTATGTTGTACTTACGAATAAAATTGTTACAAATTCTAGGGAATTCCATCATGTCAACCCACTTAATTTCTCCAGCTCAACAGGTTCGAGCATAACAAGTGTGTTTAACAACCTCTCTACATATAGTTGTTTATGTGACAAACTTCCCAAACAATCCTCACTCCATAGCCTGGTGACCCGCAAGTATGATACCCTTGAAATACCACTGTTTTAAACAGCTACTGGTCAACAATCATTTATTCTTAGACCTGTTAACCCTTTAACTCCCAATAGTGACCAACAGCAATTTTCTCCTAACGATATCCATACATTATCATGAGATGAGGTTATGAGAATTAATTAAGTGATCACCTATGAGAAAATATTTTGATCTTTTATCAAATTCTCTCAACTCATTCTTTAAGGAAATGTATAGAGATCAGTTCAGAGAATTTGTATGTGGATATTGGGGCTTAAAGGGTTAACATCTGCAACAACTAAGATGACAACAAGTTAATTAACGAAACTGAATTATGGATCAGTTTCTTTCTGAGCAGTGATTTTAGTGTAATATTTTTTCTTTGAGCTGATCATGTAAATAGTGTCTGAAAAGCCCCAAGGGGAGCTACTATTAAAGTATCAAGCTATCTATGAGCTTTATAGGGTACCATAACTGTATTGCAAAGTTTGATGGATGATTTGCGGATAATGTTTTAATCTTTTATCTGCATGGCTGCATCATTGAAAGTGCTTTTCTACTTTGTGGTTCTTTGCAGTTACAAGAGGATATTAGTGATGATTTCTCACTCTCAGGATTTTCTTAATGGCGTGTGCACAAACATCCTTCACATGCACAAGGGAAAGCTTGTGTATTATGGGGTAAGCAAAAATCATCCTTAGTGACTCTTTAATTTCAGCCATAGTGTCATCTGTCAGTGTGCCAGTTTAAATATTCCCCCCTTTTTCTTGTCAGATCTTGTATAATTATCTCAACTATAAGTTCAGCCACATTGTGTACAAATGTAAACTATGCCCATATTACTTATTAAGTTGTGATTGCTATCTTTTACTGAAGGGTAATTATGATTCCTACGTCAAAACAAGAGCAGAAATTGAGGAGAACCAGATGAAACAGTATGCCCGAGAACAAGATCAAATCAAACACATGAAAGTGAGTGTTGCATGTAATTAGCATTATTTTCCCTAGAAGCCAAAGAGAAGGTTATGAAAGTAAAGCATTGTCAAAATCATAAGTTTAATATTTTTTTTACTTATTTAATTATAAAGTAACAACTTTTTGCCTGCTATAATGGTTAGACATTATTCTGTTTGGTACCATCCTGTCAATACTACCAAATTGTCATGGCCTAATAGGAGCTGTGTAACGGTTTTCTAGTTCCAGGGCTCGAAATTAAAAAACCCTCAGGTCACCTTTTGGCGACCAACTGGAGAAATATAGTCACCAGATGCACCAGTCTGTATAATCTATAAAATGATGCAGCTCATAATATGGCTTGGTTGTTTGAAAATATCACGGACCGAAGTCAGTATAAATTTCGGGGTAAATTGGCTTTGTTTATGCGATTTGGCATATTTTTTATGACGAAAGCAAAGCAAGATAAGATGAAATGTTTGTTGTAACTTTACTCTTTTAATTTAAATCTAAATCATGGAGAGAAATCTGGTCGCGAAAGTGGCGACTTAGTCGCCAAGGAGAAAATGTTAGTCGTTTTGGCGACGATATCAGTCACAATTTCGAGCCCTGAGTTCATTTTGTTGATAATGCCAGTTACGTGTCCTTATTTGCTATGGAACTTGAAAAATTACTTGTGCATGACAAAATCTCAGCTTCGTGCTTAATAGTATTTGTCTTCCAAGCATTGTATCAAACATTATAAACAGCAAGAATGAACTAATTGAAAAATATTAATTGTCAGTTTAACAAGTTTTTTTAAACCCGTGCCTCCTTTTGTATTTAACATACTCTCTTTCCACGTTTCACTCAGTTTGGCGGCATCTCCCACTGTTTGAAGTTTGATAAATTTGACAACACAGCTCGTTTAGAAGGGACTTTCAGATACCAAAATGGCAACAGCAGGGGTGTCATTAAGAGGTGGGATTGCCCCCGGCTACTTTCAAAGGAAAATAAAAGAAAAATAGAACCAAAAGAAACTCCTAGCTGTTCAGGCCATCTGATAGGGTGCAATAAAAAAAACAGAAATTGTGCGATATTTTCATGGTAGATTGTTAGATAAGATAGGACTATTATGCGATAAATTATGCGATTTTTTCAGGGCTAATTTACATTGTCTTACCTGGTTTCAAAGGAGACTTTGAACTTTAATGTTGTTTAACTGGCAATTTGAATGTAAAGGAATAATGAAACATCTATTTTAACACAAAATAGTTAAATCTGTCCGATTATCTTGACCCAGAAAAGAAAAAGGACACTTGTTTAATATTACATGATGCCATTACACTGCTAAACACACTGCTTGTCTCTGAAATCAAAATGGCTGCCCTGGGCGATACTGCGATCGAAGGTTTCAGATGTCTTGCAAGGCTTTCTTTAGTGGTAAATCACCTTAAATAACATTAAGATTGGGAAAATGTTTCATTAAAGTTAGAATTCATTGTTTACTTTACTTTAATTTAGGATTTTTTTAAGGATTATGCGATTTTCCTCAAATTGAGTGATTGGATGAGATTTGAGGTCAGTTGTGCGAAATCGCACCATTGCATAATATCAGATGGCCTGGCTGTTTGATTTTTCGCCTACTTGTTGTATTTACCCTGCAACTAGCAATCTTAGTGACAACCCTTCAACGACAATCAGACAAGCACCTTTCACCACCAAGTGTCATTTGTAAGCAAAGTTCTTCTTATTAGCTCTTATTCTGTTCCTGGGCATTCCTTTAAACTCAACTCTCATGAGAATTCATTTATGCAAAGCTTGGCAACTTTACAATTATTTCAAAATTAGGCTTGGTGGAAGTGAAATTTGCTTGCCCGACATAAACATGCATTAGTGCTATCAATTGCAAAAAATGTTCCCAGTGATACCGTATAACATATTTGTTTTATTCATAATCACAGGACTACATTGCTAGGTTTGGTCACGGAAGTGCCAAGCTGGCAAGGCAAGCACAAAGTAAAGAAAAAGTACTGAGTAAAATGGTGGCTAATGGACTCACAGAGAAGGTCGCAAGGGACAAGGTAAGAACATTTCCATACCTACTTTTTTTATTACTCTATAAACCCTAATATCAAAATTTCAATTCTCATTGGTTGCTTGCAGGTATTTCCTATAGAAATTTTGATGAGAAGTTGTTTTAGTGTCAATAAAATTCATCTTACGCGATCATTTCCTTAATTTTCATGACTACACTGTTTTATAAGGCAAAGATATTACAAGATGAAATTCAATGATGATGATCTTAGGGCTTAAGAGTTTAGGTTAAAGGAGTTTTTGCACAAGAAAATTTGTTTTGTAAATTGCAATGCACAACATGTACATACAGATGAGACAAGTCCTGAGATGTTGCTTACGGCTGGAGTGTTTCACGTGATATTATGGTTCCCTCACCTCATACATGTAACTTGTTTCTCATTGAAAGTATCTGATGTTTTAAGTGAAATCTGTCACCATCTTGTACAATGTAAAACATCATCCCACAGCAACACTCACCTCAAGCCCTTCAACATTTCATTGGCATTATGGTTAATATTTGCATTTAGATTTCTGGGAAACTGCCCACCTACCTGTTCCCTAAGCTAACATTAACACTTACTTCTCGCTTAGGGCAAAATGACGGCTTAGGGGAGGGGTAGGTGGAGGGTTCCCAGAAACCTAAACTGATCCCTAAAACCTTGCTTAAAATTTGGCTAAATCATGGGTTAAAGTTAACCATTTTTAAAGGAACCAGGCCCAGGAGAAATAGAAAAGAAAGGATATGCAAAATAAAGGGGGCAGAAAAAAAGGTGTATTACAAAAGATGTGAAAATGGCAAATCCATACATTTCTTAAGGGACTGGTCAAAAAGTATAGGGGGGGGGTGGGCCGGAGCAGAGAGGGGGTGGGTCATGAGGTTTTGAGCCTTGTGCAAGGGGTGGGTCGTGCAATTTTCAGCTAATCTTAGGGGGTGGGTCATTCTATTTTATTACATAGATAGGCACTAACTACTAACGAGACAGTTGACTACACTTGTTATATAAAACACAGCCAGCTGGAATTATTGCTGAAATACTCGCAAACCTCTTGTGCGAGAAAGTACAAAAGGGTGACAGGCCGCGCACATCTATACTGGAGTGGAACCCTTAACCTTTTTTTTTTTGGCTCTTACGGGCATGTCCTTTAATGATTTTCCTTTTTTTGTAAGGAAATGATTGGTGGCTCTTTAAAAATTTATTGAGGTTACAGTTGGTTTTGTATAAGATTCCATTTTTTCATTCAAGCTTCCTTTGTAGTAGACAATGAGGGCTGGTATTGTGTCACGAATGACAATATTTCTTTTTCCTCCTTGTTGTTTTGTTTTAGGAGTTTAGACTCCCTTTCGTGAATTTTATTTCTGATAGTATGTTTTCTATCAAAGATTGTGGGTAGCCTCCGTCCATCAAGCGTTGTTTTTTAAATGTGAATTATTTTCCTCAAAAGTTATTTCTGAGAAGTTTTTTCGTAGGATTCTCAAGGCTCCTTTTTTAACATTTGGAGGGTGACACGAGGTGAAATGTGTGTGCAAGAAGGTTTGCTTTTGTTAAAAATGTGTCTTTTCATCAAGGATAGATTTTTCCTTGAATCTTGTGCCTTTATCTACAACCGTGTCTAAAAACGCAGTCTCAGTGTCAAATGTTTCAGCCTTGAATTCAATAGTTGGGTGATGTAAGACTTACATCACCCAACTATTGTTCAATGAAGGCTTCGATGTCTGGTTTACTCATGTACCATAGGTCAAAGATATCGTGCATGTAGCATTTCCAAACTGTTGTTCTAAAGACAGTTTTGCTTAGAGTTGTTGTTTCAATATATGTCATGAAAATATTGGCAAAGGAATCAAATCTGCTTTCTTCGTGCCCATTGCAGTTCCATGGTTTTGTAGGCAGTGCTTTCCATTGAAGTGGAAGAAATTTTCTTTGAGGGTCGATTAATCTAAGCATTTCTGGCAAGTAATGTGTAGGAATGGGTTGTCTTTGTAGAAATTTTCTTATGCTTTGTGACAGACAATTTCAATATACCCTCCTTTTGCTGTATATTCGTGTCAAGACTCATAACGTCCATCGAAACAAGGAATGTTGGGTTTTTCACATTTGTCTTTCCAGTGAAAGGTATGATTTCTGTGATTTTGATATTGGTTGTAGCAGTGTATCAACAAATTTTGTCAAGCACAGAACAAGGTTTTATGGGATTATTAAGAGGAAACCAAACATCCATGTTTTAACTAGGGGGTGGGTCGTGCAATTTCCAACCTTGCTTTAGGGGTAGGTCAGTCATTTTTGTGCCGAAGGGAGGGGGTGGGTCATGTGTGTTTTATCAACCACATTTCCAAATGCTCCGGCCCACCCCCCCCTATACTTTTTGACCGGTCCCTAAAGAATTACTTGATCAAAGATCAAAGTTTTTATTATTTTTTTTTAAATTCTCATCAGCTAATCTCATGATTATGTATAGATGTTCAGTGATTTTTGTTACAAATAGTTGTGGTGAGTCCTGGGTCTCATCATCATGAGTCGCTGTCCATAACCAATGAGTCCCAGTTCACAAAAACAAGGAGTCCTTAACTGAAAATGCTTATGGACCTTTATGTAACCAGACAGTTAATCTGGAGACAGAAGCCAGAACTATACAGTTTACTGAAATTATATAGTCTTTCATATATTTAAAGCACAAAAAAGACTAAAATAAATAGGGATCTTTAAGCAACAGCCATGTGCAGAGATCACACAAACTAGATATTGTAGCAAAAAATCTTCAAATGGATTGATCCTTCTTTGCATCCTACGGGACGCATGCCATGAATTATTTTGCGTCTTGGGTTATTTTTATGCATCAGGGATGCAGGATGCAGAGGTAACAGAATCACTGGATGGTACAGGTCAAAATTATATTCAGTTTAGAATTTTTACCTTGGGTTGATTCTCAATTTCCTTTGTTGTTAGCCCCAACTCCTGAACAATTAGGGCAAACAAGGAGACAAAGGAAACAGAGAATCAAACTCGCTTAAAAAATGTTAAGTTGAATTTAATTTTGACCTGTAACATATAAATTGTTGGGAGAAAATTGATCTTGGTCATCCTTGGGATTTTAGGGGTTAATGGCCAGTCAGAGGTTAAATGATTCAGTTCAGAAACTAATTAGTAGTCTTCTTTTGTAATAATTTTTTATTATTATTTAACCAGGTTCTAACATTCTATTTCCCTGACTGTGGAAAACTTGCACCACCTGTTGTCCAGGTTCAGGCAATGAGCTTTAAATATGGAAAAGATAAGGTTAGTTCTTTTAGTTGCTTTGAGCAGACACTGTGTATGTCACATTTTTATCGCATTGTGTTCTTGTGATCACCTTCTCTGCATTTATTTCTTCATCCCGCAGATTTATGAAATTCATGTAATTTGTTTATCATTTCAATATAAATAATAATTGTTATTATTAGTGGAAAAAACACTTGAAGCAAATGCCCTGCTTTGTCTGTAAGGGTATATGCTGAAGTTATTTGACTGTAACATTAGGAATCACAATGTTGCTAAATGTACAGTGCCTTAATTTATTGGTGTATTTTAAAATGTCATTCTGTACAGATTTAAGTACTTTTGAATTGCTGAAGTGCAGTGCACTGTCTAATAAAACTGAAAATATACATGAACCTAAATGTCCTTAACCTTGTAAAACTTGATAAAATCTGTTTTTAGTGGTTTAGCTCAAAGTCATCTCTTTAGAACTGTTCATTCCCAAACTGATCCGTAGCATTTTATTCTCTATTTAGCCTGCCATATATGATAATCTGGACTTTGGAATTGATTTGGAGTCCAGAGTGGCTTTGGTGGGTCCCAATGGAGCTGGCAAGTCCACACTACTGAAACTGCTTGATGGAACACTGACACCTTCTGATGGGCTTATACGAAGGCATAATCACCTCAAAATATGCCGTTACCACCAGGTTTGATCAACCGCAAATATGAGCTTTATACAACTATAACTCAATCACAGGGCTGTGCTCTAGTGGAGCGTGGCCCCTAACACCCAACATTTTGCTCTCAGGCAACTAGAAAATCTTAGCTTTTTCATACAAATCATATGCTGGGCACCCAAGATTTTACAGTTTCAGAGCTCTCTTTGAACAGTTTTACTTAGAGCGTAGCCTTGAATCACATCACAGAGTAATAAATAGTTGAAGCTATTGCAAGGCATAGAAAAACACAGAAAATGATAAAAGGTTATTTAAAGTGCTAAGTTGTCATTCAATGTCTAAACCATTCGGGCTTAGCCCTTGATCAGTGGAATGCTATTGGTTTTGGCACTGCCGAGACATTTTTATTAAAATGAATACATGTACACTGTAAGTGCAAGTCTTACAGAAAATGAAAATTGCTGTTACATAGCTGAGTTAAAAAGAGGCACAAAACTTGCCGTTTCCCTCGCTTAATATTACTGCAGAAGCTAGTTAATGCCTTGCACCATATTGTCAATGATGGGGCAACATGTGACTAAGGCAAAATAATGGTAGTCTTTACACTAGAGCCTAAATAAGCTAAAAAATATTTCAAGACAAGTAAATTTTAAATTCTTCAAGTAAAAAGAAGCTTCACACACAACCTATCTTTTTTACTTCAGGTTAACTTAAGGCTATTTTCCCACGCAACATTATTAAGATTGATTGACATGCTTTGCCGTTCTGAAAGCTCAAGAAACCACAAGGTCGCAAAGTCGGTTTTATAAGGATGGTTTTCAAGTCCCTTGAAACTTTTCTTGAATCGTTTCAACTTTCCGACCTTAATGAAATGCAGAGTAAAAGAACTTGAGATTTTACTTTGGCTTTTACACACATAGAACGGTTTTCACTTGACTGTCGTAAAACCAAAACCAAAGTAAATACACTAGCCAACCAAAGGGCGTAGTAAAACCAAAACCAAAACCAAAACCAATCCCTTTCGACAGTCAAGTGAAAACCGCTCTATCATCGGTTAAGTAAAACTTAGCAGCTCTCAAGTCTTACGTAACGGCCTGGTGTAAAGATTGCCAATATCATTAGTTTGAAAATGCTCAACTTCTGATGAGTTACCATAGTTAGGTGGAGGATTTTTTAAGCCAATCAAATGCACTAAAAAATAACAATTTATTACCAAGCAACTAAATATCATGCTTCAATAATATGACCATTTCTTCTCGCATTTCTGGCAGCATCTCCAAGACATGTTGGAGCTGGACAAGTCAGCACTAGAATTCATGATGAAATGTTTTCCTCACATAAAGGAGGTAGAGGACATGAGGAAATCAATAGGAAGATATGGACTGACTGGTAAACAACAGGTGTGTACAGGGTAATATAGATAGATATGGACTGACTGGTAAACAACAGGTGTGTACAATGTAATATAGATAGATATGGACTGACTGGTAAACAACAGGTGTGTACAGGGTAATATAGATAGATATGGACTGACTGGTAAACAACAGGTGTGTACAGAGTAATATTAGTGCGTTTCGCAACAGGACATTAGAAAGAAGAGGATGGCAAAGCGCTTGTGTGAGACGAACGTGACAGGGCTATTTCTTGCATGTTATCCTCACTTAACATTAATGTTTTGTGGTCTTTGCCAAAAAAAATATTTAAAGGAAAGTGAAGTTTGACGTAAAGTTATTTCAAACAAAATTATTGTCACGCTTGTCATACAAGGTTTGCTGTCTTCTTTCCACTCCTGTCCTGTTGCGTAAGTTCATCATTAACAAGGAGGAAAGAAGATGGTGCTTGGTTCTGAAAATAATAACAAAGATGTAATGAGAATGCCACTATCATCCATGGGAAAAAGAGGAAAATAGAATGTTGATCCCCTTCTGCAACTACAGGGGTTTTTTTATTATTCATTCTCTTTATATGTCTAGGTGTCTGTTGTTTTGTGGCCAAGCTCCAAAGTTTTTGTTACTCTGTCACTTCGATGAAGCTTTATTCGTTGCTGATCCTGTTAGTAAACTGGACAGGAATAGGAAGCGAGTATCTCATGGTTCAGTTTTGGACCAATTCCTCGTTGGTGGGGTTCAATTCCTGTTGATAACGTGAAACTGTCCTCTCTTTCCAATGGTACTTGTAGATTGATAGACGCTGCATGTTTGTCAGGTTTAAGGTGGCTGCATTGTTATTACAAGTGCATTGAACTATGATGACATAAAAACTGCCGACGGTTTGAGAGCATTTAGCAATAATATGAAATTATCTGATATTTCTCCCTGATATTTATTTGGAATACTCACTATATCAATAAAAGATACCAGAAATTTCAGTAAAAAATATCAGCAAAATTTTATGCTAGACGTGATCAATTGAGGTATTGCCAAATGATAGCTGGAGTACTTCTTTAAGTTTTAATAGCCATCACGTTAAAACCAAAAATGTTATGACACAAAGTTTGTCATAGTTCATTGCATTTGTAATAAAAACGGAGCTACCTTGAAAGAGATCTTACAGCTACAGTTTACTACAAGCTGTCCCTGAAGGTTTAGGCAAGCATGTAAGCAATCAAGGACTCTCCCAGTCTTTTGTGTCTGCCTGTTCAGTTTTTTCCGTGGGACTGAAGTTTCCTTCCCTGAATTATAACTTACAGTCACACTAGTAAAGCTTCTGTGGGCTTAGGGGGGAGGGGAGGGGAGGAACAGTAGGGATTGTTCTTTGTACTCATCTGCCCTTTGAACAGAGATGCTAAACCCGTCATTAATGTTAAGTGGCATTTAAATGCAAACATAAGCTGCACACATGGAACCCAAGTAACAATGCCAGCACAGAGAGCTCAAAATACATGCACTAACTTTTCAAGGTCACCTTGACTTCTGATGACTTGAAAGGTAATGTCACCAATACAGGCGTATTATCGTTCGCATCTGAAACTGCTACCTTGTAGATTCTAACTTGTGCTTTATGTTGATTGAAAACAGATCTGTCCAATGCAGAACTTATCCGATGGTCAGCGCTGTCGTGTGGTGTTTGCTTGGTTAGCCTTCCAGGCACCTCATCTCTTGTTACTTGATGAACCTACAAATCATTTGGATATGGAGACGATTGACGCACTGGCTGATGCCATTAATGACTTTGAGGGAGGACTGGTGCTTGTTAGTCACGATTTCAGGCTGATCAATCAGGTCAAAATAATTATAAACTGTTCACTGGTTCAATGCGCTGTTATGTGTACAATACGTTTTGATCGCATAATTGTCTCAAAACTTGGTGAATAGATCACCTTTTTAGCTTGTAAGTTTTGTTTTCCCATTTCAGTCTACGAGATGGTACCCCAGAGAACGGTTTCTTTCAAATGTCGTCCTATTCATCCGCGTGCACATGTATGCATAATTTATGAAAAGACAAAAGGCAAATTCCCTGGGCCCAGTTGTTTGAAGGCCAATTAGTGTTTAACCTGGGGTTAAATTTAACTCGGGTTTCTTTTTCTTGTGTTCAAAAGCATTTTCTCGGATAATTTTCTTTTTTTTTTAGAGTTTCCAATCATCAACTTGTAGACAAAAAGAATCATTAAAACTGAAATGCTTTTTAAGCCTTAAAATCTGGATTCAAATCTCGCACTAGCCCTGGGTTATCTTAACCCGGCTTTGTATAACTCAGCCCTGGAGAACATCGGAAGAACAAAATATACAAGCTAAGGGCCAGTTTACATGGAGGTGGGGGACCCCAGACAGATGAGGTAACATGTGATGGGTCCCCCACCTATTATGTAAACGTGATCAAATTAATATGAGAGATTATATGGACAGACGGGTTACCTCACCTACCTACCTATTGAAAGACTCTAAGGAAACAAAAGCATAAGTTTAAATTACAAATTGCAAAGAATCTCACTTAGACCCGTGGGCATTGGCCACGCTTCCCTGGATGACCGAGGTTTTTTCTCACGAGTGGTGGGATGATTCGAGCCAAAGCGCCGGTCACTATAAAGACTTGACCAAAACCGGAAGCCGCGCATGAAAAGTCTCTGATACCCAGCCTATGGCAAAGCTGTATCGGTAATTTTAATCCTCTTTCCAGTAACAATGTGTCTGTTGTAGCAATAAGTCTGCATAGCAGTTAAAAATAGCAACCTAAATATCTGATGACGACGACAACAACTTTGCACGTACAGTAGTCTTTTTTGTACATTTGTTTGTCGTCGCTGCACGACTACGACCTGAAAGTGCCTAATTTCACGTTTATGGAGGACGTAAACGAGCGACGACGAAATGTTTTTTTTTTCTCTTTCTGAACTTGGGAATTGTTCTCAGGAGGGCTCGCGTACATTTGACAAAGGGAGTGAGTTACAATAATCGCAATGAAGATTGAAACAGCGCGGCGTTTTCGATGCCGTCGCTGTCCTTTCCTTTCCCTAATATTACCGACAAAACTTCTGTACACTCCATCAGCTTTTCCTAATGTAAGATTTTTGTCTCGTTCTTTTTCCCTAGGTTGCGAAGGAAATTTGGATCTGCGAGAAAAAGACTATCACTCCATGGAAGGGAGATATTTTATCATACAAGGAGGAGCTGAAGAAGAAAGTGACTAGAAAACACAAAGCGTAATCTATTTATTTTTACTTAAGTACAATAATTGCTATTATTATTTTGAGTAGTCTATACATTGTAACCTAGCTGCTGTTAGAAACTCTGGAAGCCTGTATGAATATTATTAGAGCTGATTATTAGAGCAGAGAGTCTTTTGAGCGACGCACTTTAACCGGAAGTGGACTAGCCTCCCACGCACCGGAAGTGGACTAGCCTCCCACGCAGACGTTCTTAGGGGTCGTCACGTGTTCCTGCCCCACGAACGTTCGTGGGACAGGAACGTGTGACGAACCACTAAGAACGTTTGCGTGGGAGGCTAGAAGTGGACTTTTAGCATTCTTGGGCAGTGGTTTCGCCCAAATTTTTCGGCCAATCGTCTCTATAGAATAAAGACAGTTGGCACTACAAATTTGGTAGAGTCAAGGCATATTATAAGGGAAAGGTTGACGTACGCCGCTCAAAAATGCCTTTGCTTAAACTGCTTATTACCTCTCACAGTTGACTCAGTACAGCCGAAAGAAAGACAGCTGACAGGAGACACTGCCTTGTTACCCTTAAACAGTTCCAAATAACTGACACATTTGTGGACCTTTTTTTGTAATTTTATTAACTTTACATGCAAATGCTCCCTTGGAATTGTCAAAACCCTCACTTTCAAAATGAGGCCAAGTGCACAACCTTTCCTTTGAAAACGAGTTTTATTTGCATGAGAATGAGAACCATCTCCATATCAAAGGCTGAGTGCTCCACCGGTCTGACGGAGTATCCGAATGTTCAAGCCTTCATCACGCTAGTGTTTTCCTTTGATTCTTAACGTATGAAAACAAGATGAAGCGAATCCTGTCTTCGATCTGATTGGCTGCCTTCCGCATTGGTGCCGCTGGAAAAAGTTCTCCTTTTGACCTTATTATATATCCTTTATTAATCACGCTTGTTCGATCAAGATGGTGGCATATTGGCCTCCCTTTTTTTTGCGTTTTGATTGACCTTGACTTCGTCTCGGTCCTACCCTGTGTGCTAGAGGCTTTTCAAGCGCGGTTTCCGGTTTCGGTCAAGTCTTAAACAGTGACCCGCTCGAAAAACATGCGTTGTTGACGAGTGTGATGGCTGGATATTTGCCAATTTTTTTTTTTTTTTTTTTTTTGCGTTTTCGTGGACCAAGACAGCCTGGGTACCAGAGGTATATTCTTGCGTGCGACTACGAGCTTCGTCGGCCGCAGGCCGAGGACACGAGCGGCGAAGCCGCGAGAAAAAACCTTTGGCACCCAGGGTATCTCGGTCTATGAAAACGCAAAAAGTAACTTGGCCAATATCAAGCCATAACGCTTGTCAACAACGCATGCTTTTCGCACAGGTCACTTTTTAAGACTTGACCGAAACCGTAAACCGCGCATGAAAATCTCTGGTCCAGGGTAGGACCGAGACAAAGTTAAGGTCAATCAAAACGCTAAAAAAAGCGAGGCCAATATCCAACCATCACGCTTGGTCAACAATGCATGTTTTAATTTCGTATCTCACTTTTAATAAATTTATTTGTTACAATGAATTCTAACGTAATGTATATTGTTCTGGGTTTATTTTACCAAATAATTTGAATGTGCGCGGGAAGTTATTGTGGTATGTGAATTCCATATCAATTTTACTCCACGTGTAATAAATATATTTATTGCAATAAATGTTTTCATAATGTAATATTTGTTTTTACTCTTCTAAGCTGATAACGTTAGTTGTTCTTTCACCATTCTAACTGTCTTACCAACTCGCTGGAACAGTCTTAATCCCTCCACATAGGTGCAATTATGATCAATTTTATATGATGAAGTCGTCCGCAATATTTATGCGACGTTAAAGAGGAGCCACTTAATCTCGAGGTCGGTTAGAAAAAAAAAACATAAGGGCGTTTAAGATGTCACGAAGGCGACCACAAAAAGAACATCAAAAAAGCACGCAATTGTATACGGGTTAAGAATCGCAAATCAACAGCTCTGCAAGTGCGGTACACTTTTTGTTTCATTTCCTTGCCGTCACTGCACGAATACGACTTGAAATTGACAAATTTCACACTTAAGTGAGAACTTAAACAAACGACTAATTTCTCTTTTGAACTTGGATATTCTTAAGAGTTCGCCTACATTTAATAAAGTAAGCGAGTAGAGATAATCGCCTTGAAGTTTTGAAGAAAGCAAAGTCACTTTTTAAGTGACTCTTTCGCCCGTCGTCGCCGTCATGTTATTTTGAACTCCCTATTATTTTATTATTTTGGTAGGGATCACCGATACGACCCCGAGTATGACTTTTATTGACCTCTTCTCCTGCTCTGAAAAAAATATTTATCTTCTTTCCCGTCTCTCCGTCTCTGTAATGTAACATCGCCCGAGAGACTTGGGTTCGTAAAGGTGTGTGTAGGCAATCGTTCGATAATTCGATTTATTTGTGCCTTTCCACGCTCGTCAAGTGAAGTTACTTGTACATGATAACCAGTGATTCTTTCTTTTCTCCAAAGTTCTTTCCATCTCTTTCAATAGACAAGTCTTTTATCAAAGCCAACGTTTCTTCCACTAGTTTTTTGTCAGCTACCTCGCGATAATTTACTGTTTGCGTCAGGAAATCCAGCAAAAGGTTTCCTTCGCTTGAGCGCGGATCAAACACATCTGTGACATCGAGTTCATATTCATGGGTATACACTTCATGTTTCCAGCCGTTTTCATTAGCGATCGTGATTAGTTTTTCAGCGGTTTCGTGTCCCTTTCTAACCGCGTCTTCAACGGGCCATAATTTGATCTGCTTCAAAAAGATTGGTGATATGATTCCTTCGAAGTCTACAATGCAAATAACATAACCTTTGTCGCTAAGCTCTTTTTCAAAACAGCACAGTAAAGTTTCTTCAATGTCAACATAGTAGATGCTGTGAACGAAATGTATGATGTCGAACTTAGTTGCTCCTTTCTGGCTTCCCTGATACTCCTCAAAGGTTTGCTGACGGATCTCAAATTTTGTGTTGAGATCGTCTGGTGAACTGGGTAGATTTTTGATGACTGCTTTGTAGAGGTCGCACATATATTTGTTAGGCTCAATAGCTCGGTTGAAGATCTTCACACGGCGGTCGTGGTTGCTCTTTCGTAGCTCTTCCTCGATTAATTTGAGTATCATCAGGTCTATCTTCCCGTCCCCACTTCCAGCACTGAGAATGTTCAATGTTTGCCCAACGCTATCGGGAATCATTCCTTGAATTATCGGCGGGATGTGTTCTTGCAATATCTCGGCATTCTTTTCAAGCTGTCCAGATTTCTTTTGGAACAAATTAAAGCATTTCAAATAATGGGCTGCTGAGGATAGGGCGAAGATATCCGTCACTTCTTTTGCCTCGTCCATAACTGCAACCACACAACGTGACGGTACAAGATCGATTTTGCAAATTTATAAAAGGCGATTGTTGTTTTTGTTTGTTGTTTCTGCTTTGTTAAAATGAGGGTAAGGGCGAGGGTGGGGGTGAGGGTGACGCTGAGGGTAAAAACGCGGGGTCGGGGTCAGGGTCGAATTTTTTTTTAAGAATGCTGTTTTGGGGTTACGGTTAGGGTTAGGGTTACGGGTAAGTGTCAAACCTAACCCTACCACTCAGGGGTCCCCCTTAACCCTCTCCTCTAAAGGTTGATTTCCACTGACGCGTTTTTCGGCTACGCACGTTAACGCACGTAAATTTTAATCATATAAATAAAATAGAGGCAAGATATAAAGTGTTGAGATTAAACATGAAGTAGAGCGAGGTTTAACTTTTACGCTCACGTGCGACAAACAAAGAGCATTATAGTATGTTATGGTATTTTCTGGAGTGGCCAATACTGTGGCGCCGTTACCCGTCACGCTATTGCCTGCTTTATTACGAGCAAACCTTTTCTTCTATTGTAGCCATCTACCATGAAAATGACGGGGAAACCAGTGGTGGCGTCGCGAAATGTTGGCTGTTCAGTTATCTATGTTTTTTGGGTATACCGCGTTTTAGGATTTAAGCCGATTTTCCGCCTCTGCCCTTACTCGACCTGACTAACCTGACACTCTGAGAGCCGGGTGTCAGTAAAACGCGGGGTCGGGGTCTATATTTTTTTAAAAAAAGAATGCTAATTTAGGGCTAAGGTTAGGGTTAGGGTTTGGGGTTAGGGTTAGGGTTAGGGTTAGGGTTTGGGGTTGGGGTTAGGGTTAAAGTAGGGCTAACGATGAGGGACATGAGGGTAGGGATTAGGGCCAGGGAAGGGATGAGGGCATCCTGCGGAGACCCAAGGTTAGTCAGCGAGTCAGGGGGCACGTAACAGGGGCACCCAACGGCAATTTTCGGGAAAATATCTGTTCGGAACACGATTTGAGAACTAGAATTTTCGGAACATTTGTTGTAAAATTTCTTGCTTGCCTGCCTCTCCTAGGATTTTCGAACATCTACAAAAGGGTATAATTACCCATTTTAAACGGATATTTACCCTAAAAAAGGCCACCTAGAATTTTCGGGAGCCTTTTCCTGGCTGAAATTTTCGAAAAGGTAAGTTTTGGTCCCTATAATTCTCGGATCACTAGTCTTTCAGCTAGGAAATCCGAACAGATGAAAAGTTTTTAGGGGATAAAAATATGCGTATATCCACCGTTTAAATACTAAAATACGTTCAACAATGCTATGTTAAGTAGTTTAGAACTATATCCTCGTTGGGTGCCCCTGACGTAACGAAAGTTTTTCAACGGGCGGATCTTTTGTTTTTGCTGGCAGTTATAGAACCCTGAAATTTGGTTCAAATTTCTAAAGATTTCCTTGCTTTCATTTCCATATTACAGATATTATCAAGCAACTGGCCCATTTCTAGAACGGGGTATCAGTTTTAGGGCGAATTCTAGAACGGGGTATAAAAAATTGGCTCATTTCTATAACGGGGTATCAATTTTAGGGGAAATTTTTTTTAGAACGGGGTGCCAATTTAGAGTCCCGGGCGGCACATACCCACCCAAAAATTATCCAAGTGCCCCCCCCCCCCCCCGGGGGGTAAATATAGTCGAGCGCGGTCTATTCAACTATTCTCCGGATCGGATCATACCAATCAAGCCATCATTGTATGGAGTATATGTGAATTCTTTTTTAGGGTATCCCGGTCGAGAATTTCTGTGTTGATTCAAACTCATTTCCCTTAGAAGCTTGTTGGTATTTGAAAGAAAATTTTAACAGATCGAACAGGTTAGCAGAGTTCCAAACTGAGATGGCCAGCTTTCCTTCGTCACATTGGTTCACTTTCAGAAGCGAGGCCATTTCAGCCTTAAATCAGTAGGTTTACCTTGCGACACATTAATTCTGTTTTTTTTTATGACTTGCTTAATCGTAAGACACCTTGAAGGTAAGGACAATGTTAGATTTTTTTCCTTTAATTTATTTATTTCTGCCTCGAATATATCCGCGCCAAAACCTCCTAAATGCCCGCCAAATTTAATGTGGCGCACTCGGGAGTGATCGTACAGTGTTTAGGAAGAAACAGGCCCAGCACAACTTCCACTGGAGGCACTTTTGTGTTACTGCAAGAAGTACCCTTATAAAGAAGTCGAAAAGCTTTTCTATTTTTAATTTCGTGCTACATTTTCTGGATAAACAATGGAATGTGTTGAAAATTGTAGACATCCGTGTTTCATAATACACGTACACACTTAGCGGCCAAATTGCTACATATTTTATCTTTTTACCGCTGTTTTGCTTGTTGCCGAAGTTTAAATGCTACATCATGATCCAGTGCGATTTATTGTTGTCGTTACACGCTCAGATCTTTAATTTGTTTGAATTAATGAGAAAATTATCTTGTAGTCTGTAATTATGCGTAGTATTGCATTGTTGAATGCGTTCACTGCCTATGAAAACAATCGTTTTCCTAGTAGTATATCGGATAGGCCAACTGACTCCCACTGGTGGCAAATTGTGCTACAAAACCATAAATAAGGGATATTCGAAGTATAAACCTCACAAAAGCTTTTGATTTTGATCAACAACGAAATGAGTGACTAAAACGCGTTAAAAATAACACATGCTCGTGTTACAGAGAGGGGGTTGAGTGTTGCTCGTTATTTGTAAGTCTCTGAATCTTAGCAGCTTTCTTTTTCTTTTCTATAATTTTTACCGAGGAATCGAAATGAATTTTAGTTGATTGGTTGCGTCCATCGCGGTTCCCCCCTATTTGTTTTTCAAAAAAAAGAAAAACACCATTGCAAGAACCTGTACGGTCTCTATTATTTTTCATTAACAGCCAGAGAGCTTTAATTCACCGAAACTAAAACAGATTCATAAAATGTACATGGTTCAGGGTATTCTGTACGTGCCTTTTATGTTGCGTGTGTCGCCTGATTAAAAGCGAGCGATCGGGTGAGTCGCCTTCGCTTAGTGCAAGAAGACTTTGTAAAACGTGTATATTTAATGAATCTTTCTGTAAAGAACGAGGCGGCCTAGAAAGCTTGAAAAATAGTTTTTGAAACGTCTTGCCAAATATGTTTTTATTTTGTTTGGGGGTTGCTAAAATTGCGTTTCAACTAGACGCTGTAAAATTCGCAATTGAACTTATTCTTCGGATTCAAAACAATGACCAAAGTTCCGTCTGCACGTGCTCTTTTGGGTGAGTCGCCTGAAAAAGCAAGCGATCGGGTGTGTCGCCTTCGCTTAGTGCAAGGGAACTTGGTTTTTATTGGTTATGGCTCGCAAGTCCGTTTTGAACGAAATAAATGGTTTCAGTCATAATTAATGAACATCATATAGGTGACCTTACAAGTTTGTATTATAAGAAAAATATAAGAGCCTTTTTACGACGCGAACAGGAAGAAATAGAAAACTTCACCCGCCTTTTCTCAAAAAAAGGGAATAGTCCCGCTTTAAATTCTGCTCCCCAGAAAAAGCTACAATGAAAATTATTTAAATTTATAGTTTAAATTCAATCAAATTTATTTAAATCGCTGCTCTTCGTTCATTTGTGGTAAATAAATGCATATTGATTCTGAGGTATCCCCGGTTAGATAATTTGTGCAAAACTCCTCTACACCGCCACAAGTTTTCCGAGTGGTGCGCTGTTTCGGAGTGATTTTTATTTCACCAGGTTCTTTTCTTTAGTTGTGTTCGTCTCATCAGCTCAGCTTTATTATTTCTGTAGTGTCTGCTAAAATGATCCATTGAAAGATATGTCGAATAAAGCTTCAGTAGGAGGTCACGAAAGGAGATTCGCATTTCACCTCAAGTATGGTTTCAAGCTGTCAACGGTCTATGCTTGGCTGAATTTAAACAATGGCTTCCTGGTCAGATGGGGGACAAATTTTCCCCCATATTTCGGTCGCTAAGGCTTGCGGCTCGCCATGATCACTGAAACAAGCTTAGGCTGCGTGCAAAGGGACGCAACATTGTTGACCAACAACTCCCAACATTGTTGGATGTTACTTGTTGCGTCCGTTTGCACACCCTGTTGCATATTGTTGGATGTTGTTGCGTGTTGTTGCGCAAAGTTTAAAACCGGTCAAATTTTTCAGCCAACAACTCCCAACATTCCTTTTTTTCCGTGATCGCCAAAGCGAGGCGCAACAATGGTGGATCCGTTTGCACAGCTCTTCCAACATTGTTGGGGCCACGCACGCTCATTACGCATGGTTTACAAAGACTTACGGGTTGTATCCTTCCCACGATGCGCTGCGGGTCCCAACACCACTGCCAACTGATCGACTCCCAACATTGTTGGCGCAACAATGTTGGGAGTTGTTGCGTCCGTTTGCACCAGCCTAAGCTGCATGGAAGAAGTTTAAAGGGAAAGGGAAGTGGGAATTATTCAGGCACTTGTTCTGCGTTTATGGTGCGTATTAAAGGCTGTTCAGAATTGCTTGCCGAAATCGTCAGTGGAGCGAGGAAATACGCTCAATTCTGAGAACCCGCGAGCAATTCAGCACTAGTAAAACTAGGACTGGCCAGAAGCTAATTATTTGTCTTTCTTAGCTTGCAATTTGTCTCATTTCGAACAGCGTTCGATTGGGAAATCTGGATTTAGATTTCAAACCCCGGATTTCGGATTTGTGATAGAACGCGAACTCCGCAATAGAATTGTAACGCTAAGATATTTGTTTTTGATTTTACCGTTCGATTAGGAAATACGAAAAAAAATTGAAAAACTGTCCTTAAGAACATCGCTCTTGCACGGACCGGCACGCTTAATTAACAAAAGGAAGACCGCTGTTCACAAGAATTGTTTGCAAATCCTTTTTCGGATTTCCCAATGGAATGGTCCTCAACAGGAAATCCATGAAATCCGCATTTGGATTTCTCAATTGAAATCCACCCTGAGGACGGATTTCTCGGAGGTGAAATCCATTTTCGGATTTCGCGTTCGATTGCAAAATCCGGATTTCCCAATCAAACGCAGCAGTTAAAGTTTATTTAGATAAAATGATCTCCCAAAAGGGGTTCATCAAATTAATTGTTGTTTATTTCTTGTGCCATGAACGCGTCAAACGTTTTCCAAAAAAAAAAGAAAACAATTAATATTTCAAGCCGTCATTTGTATGTAGTCCTTATGTATGCTCAACTCCCACGTTTTGTCCACCATGGGGCAGTTTATCAAGTCTTTCAGTGCTGACTCTTCTGTCACGCTAACGGAATTATAAAATGCTTCAATTATCCAGTCATAATGCCATTCTTTAATCGGCCCAGAACATTCATGTAATTTATAGACCGCTAACGTTTCAAAGCCCTTAAGACCGTGAAGATAGTCAGCGTAATCTAAGACTTTCTCCTTTGTAAGAGATTCTTCTACCATCGGAATCATTGTAAATGCTTTGAAACCAACTTTGTAGATGACATTGTGCTTGGCGTTTGTTTCTCCTTTGGCCGTGTGCACGAGCTTAAATATCCCACCCTGAAAAATGAAGGAAAATGTCATTCTAAAAACGTTTAACAAAAAAATCCCTTTCGTTAACCCTAAGTGTTCGAGAATTTTACTTTTTCCCCTCAACCATCATTTCACATCTGAAAATAAAATGAATTTATAAAACTTAAGTACCTTGAGAAAACAGGTGACATTTCTCTCGAATTCATCCCGCTTTAATCCCTTTAACCGGACTGAAGTGTTCATATGGCAAAATCAAGTTTCCAGCCCGCTTACCGAGATGATCTCGGGAACCGAGTTAGCCCGCCCTCTCATATGAACACATCGAAATTATTACAAAGGATTTAGAGGTAAGGTGAGATCTCCGGAACCGGGCTCATATAAAGAGGCCCTAAGCACAGAATCGACCTAAAACAGCAATATTTTCGTGACGCAGCCCCTTTAAAATGATATAAACCATATTTACCTGAGAGGCTGTTATGTGACCTTTGCTAGAGGGAGATGGTAAGCCCTTTTCAAAAGTTAGTTTGACCGCTGTTATCGAGGCCCAGTAACTTTTTGCAATGAATTTGTAAGGGCTCAGATCACCGCTTAATGTGAGCTTCTCGGACAAGATTATTGTCTTTATACCACGAGCGAAGAACTCTTCAGCAAATGGTATCCAGGACTGTTGAAATAAGTCTACTGGAACTGGTCCAGTGGTGCGGAAACAAACAAACTGCACAAATTCCGCCTCTGCGTCAGAATCAGGAGAAGTCATTTTTACCCGAGCCTTATAAGTCACAATACAGAAGTCGTCTTAATTAACATCATAATTGGTTAATCGAATTCGTCACTAAAGACTTCTAAGAATTTCTCGTGCGCTCATTCGGTGGAGAGTCACTACATGGCCCAGTAACTTTTAGTTCATTTTATGGCTTCATTTTTCCTGGCGTGTTCCAAGTGTTCTATAATACTGCTTGCAATCTTCTTTTTCTCTTAAAAGACCGTCCAGTTCTTATCCCAGCAAGCGCGATTACAAACAGCGACGCCCTTGTTCGTGTGAGCATTAAAAAAAAGAGACTGCGCATGCTCTAGGCGTTCAGATGGCTGGAAGCCTTTGGAAGCCTAAGCTGGAAGCCGTGGGTAGTGAGGGAAGTGAAGAAAAGGGGGGCGCTGGAACTGGAACTCTCTCCCTCTCCTCTCTCTCGTTTTCATCTTAGCCTGGAACCACAGGTAGCCCAATCCGGGCTACCTGTGCTGGAACAGGCTGCATTGCTTCTGTGTCGAATTTGCCATAGGACTTCTTGGAAACTCTTTTGCGATTAAGAAAATTTGTGGAGTAAAAGACTCAACAATTAAATAAGGACATTGTTCTCGATGACTGTGTGTTCTTGCTTGGGCAAAATTGCGATCTCGGGACTGAAGGTTCCAAAGTAGACTAGGTAATATAGATTACTAGCCACCTAGGTATGGCCAATAGACGACATACCGCGTTGATCAAGTGTTCTTTATGTCAGTTTGTTGTGGTACGAATGTTTATTTTGCGTTCATTTGTTTTTTGTCTGGTTTATTGTTTGTTATTGTTTGGTTTGATCAGGGTTTGATCCACACCCTGAACAGATCTGAAAAAAGCTCATACAAACCGCGTTTATTTTTTTTGGCAAAGAATCAATCGCCAATTTCATTTTCGCGCCAGACCTCCCCCTCGTTAGTTGAACTGACTGGGACCAAGGGTAGTAAACAAAATGGCGGACAACGAAATCAGTGGAAAGCGCAAGCGTTCGAAAGCATTTTACGTGGGACAAAAAAGAAGGGTTAGTCCATTACTCACTTGCTTTAAAAGTAATAACTTTTTCGTCTTGAAAATTAGTTTGAAGCCCCCATTTATTTGCGCATTTTTCAGAAAAAAGGACAAGAACTTCTTGCGCCAGGAATGAAAGGAGTGCTTGTCACGTGTAACCAACGGGAGAAATTGTGCGTCCGAGAAGCGTACAACCTCCTCAACGAGGTAAAGTTTTATTTAATTTTTATGGTCTTTAGTGTAGGAAGTGACCTACTCAATACCAGGCCCAGAACGGGGTGCTTTGTCTTTAAAGTTTTGGGGGCTCAACTCCGAAATAGACCATTTTGGGTGTACCTCGGTGTAAAAACCTGTAAAGTTTTCCTTTGTTTTCTAGCTATTATTTTCCTTGCCTCTATTGTGTTGACTTCTTAGTGGCTTCTTTGAATTCATTGTTTTACGTCACTCGTGAGTATCACAGATTTTTACACCAAGCAACCATTTTGTAGTTGTAGACTTAGTATCCTAGCATTTGAGTGAATGTGAGGCTGACGTTGACCTTGTTTTGACACAAACTTCCTTCCCTTTTTAATGGAAATTATGCTTGAAAAATACCAGTAAAGTTAAGAACAACATGATTTACATAATAAAGCTGGAGGGGTTGTATCCAAACAATGTCAACTCCAGCCTCATTTCCACGCGTAACTGTAAAATGTGTTATTCCTTCCTTCGGTGTGGCTGGCCAGTCAATGTGCTACCTTGATCTAGATGGTATGGTGACAATGGGCCCTTTGCAGCTGGTCATTATATTCATGTGGTGCAAAACCGGCTTAACTGCAGAATACCCTGCCACTTAAAAGCAGCCCTAAAGATAGGTGGATGCGCGGATACTCAGACACTACGTATTGGTGTATCCACAAAGTAAATATGTTTTCAATAATAGTCAGTGCGTATCTGCATATCTGCGTACCCACTTTGATATACAGTTGAGAATCAACCTGGGCTAAAAACATTTAACCTGAATTTAATTTTGACCTGTAACATCAAGTTCACAATTCACATGTTTACTAATCAAAGGTCAAATGGCTACGCATCATTTTTGATATAGTTTGCTGCCTAACTTGGAAATGAACCCTACAGACTGATGCTCCACAAAATTTTTGGAGGATGAATTTCAAGAAAGCATGAAAAATCAATTGTCAACTCATGAGGTTAAGTCAACCCCCCCCCAGATATAAGCCCCCCTCTATCTTGTATTTAAATTAAATAAATTTGATTTTTTTACAATGTTTTAGAGCTTTAAAAAGGAGTACATTCAAAAAGTATTTTGATCACTACTGCTATATAACTTGTTTTGAAACACTTTTTTGTCACCTACTTTACAAGCCCTCAGAAACCCTTGTATAAGCGAAGGGCTTGCAAACAAAAGTTTGCAGTAGGCCATTTCTGAGCTCCAAAATGAGGCTAAATGCAAACTGTTTGTTGTGAAAATGAGTTTCATTTGCATGGACATAAAAAATCATTTTCATATCAGTAGCTTTGGCACTTATAGCCTTGCTTTGAAACAGAGGCCTGGGGCAACTCGGAAATGGCCTTCATTGTAATTCTGTTTATTATGGTAATAACTTTCAGTATGCAGATCAGTTATATGGACCTGAGCACAATCGGCAGGGGGATCATCCTAATAATTCAAGTGATGATGACGATGATGATGATGTGGAAAATGCCCTGGCTAAAGAGGTTGAGGAATTAAAGGGAACAGTACAAGAAAAAAGATTTCAGGCTGTTTTAAGTGGAGCAAATAATGTTATATTTATCAAAACAAACCTGCCAGATTCAAAGGACCCAACAGATTTGGTGCATACTATTTTAATGGACATGCTGAAGACTGGATGTAAGAAAACTAGGTAATGTCAAACAATAATTGTTGGATTTTTATTCTTGGAAGAGAAAAGTAACAGATGGAGCGGGGGCATACTGTATTGTGTTGCATTCTGTGTTTTCTTTGTCACGTCATCAAATATAAAAATGCAAACCAGTCAATACAGAGAGTTCAGAATCTGGGAAATGAAAGAAAATAAATATAGAAAAAGCCTTGCCAAGAATCAGGTCTGTGCCGCAATTCATATGCGAGATATTCGGAGAAACAGTAATGTTTTTAACCCACATAAGAGCTTTCCCGGCCGCCAGCTAAATGTCACTTCACACAAAAGCTTGGAAATTCAAGCATCTTCTATCACAAGACGAAGAACCCACTGGAACCGAAAATTTGTGTAAATAAAAGTTTTAAGGTGCTGTAATACCTCATGAAAGTAGAAACTCAGAAGAATCTATAGTTCTTAGTTAGAATTTTAGTAATGTCATGTGAAATCCCCTAATAAGGAGCCCATAAGCCTGGACCTAACAACTACCTTGTACCCATGTGACAGCTATTTTACTGACCAGTTTATTGTTAGAACAATTTGGCACAAAATTATAGTATTCTCTGGGTCCACAAACCTTTATAAAATGTGCCCTAACATGTATATAAAAACAAACCAGTCCATGGAAACCCCTCTCCCCTTTAAAATTAGCTATGTCAATTGTTAGGTGTGACTTTAATTCACTCACTTGTCATTGTCCAGAGATTGTGCTTTGGGTCGGAGAAAATTAGGGATGGATAGATATTAATTAAGTCTGAGAGGAATTACACATCTTAGAATAATAAATTTGCTTCTGTGAACAATTTAAAACGATATAATATAATATAAAAGTTTGACATTTGATTCCAGCTAACAGTGCTGAAACATTAAATTTTGAGTGAAATTAGTCATTCACTTAATTGTGAGAATAAGCATTCCAGATTTCTGTTTGGTTTTTAACTGTTATCAATAACTCTTTCTCCTTTTTCAGACATTGTCAAAGGTTTCTTCCCATAGCTGGCTCTTGCCATGCTACCAACGAGGATATAAAAAAGCTTTCATCAGAATTGTTCAAGTCAACATTTTTTACTGAAGATGCTAAGCCATCGAAGGTAGGAAGAGTATTTGTTACTAATTCACAAAAATGTTATTTAGTAGGCATCAGTTACTGGAAAAAACAGACAGGCCTCCTTAAGTTATGTTTGTTTGTTTGTTTTTTCGTACACATTTGATTTAACTGAGGAACTAGCTGGGGCTTTTGCTCACAGTAGCTCTTTTAATCGCCATCCCTTGCCCCTTTGTGACATGCTTTGAACCTTCAGAATTTCATAGTATTGGAAACTAGCCTGCATTGCAGCCGGACTTGTCACCCAAGACCCAGATAGACAAATAATTCAAATTAAACTTAACAGGGTTAAGAATCCCAACTGGCCAGTGGCAAACCAGTTGGCTATTTACAAGCATGAACCTCAGGACTACCGTGAACAAATCCAGCTAGAGGTCAGAGCGGGACTTGAAGTTGGGGCCTCCGAATTGCAAGTTCAGTGCTCTAACCACTCAGCCACGCTACCTCCTGCTTCCTGCTGCCTCCCTGTAGTGCAAAGTCAGAGCGCTGAAAGAGGGAAAGCTCAACGTCTGTTTGCCATTTTTGACACCCACAGTGTTAATGTTCTTTTCACCTAAAGTCAATAATATTAGTGCAGCAATTTATAAGTGAATGTCATCTGAGCTCTGTGCTGGTTTGCAGTTTTGCATTATCTACAGATCCAGGAACAACAGTAATGTGGACAGAGATGAAACCATAGCAATGTTAGCAGGTCTTGTAATGAGTGCTGGGAAGGGTCATAAAGTTGACCTTAATAACCCTGATCTAGCAATCTGTGTGGAGATCATCAAGGTAAATGTTAACCAATATGCCCACACTATAATTGGTCAAAATGTCTCCAGTGGATTTCATTAAAACTCCTGTCCTACATCAAGTGCATGCTTCGTTAAATAATGATATCATTAATAATTAATTTTTGTAACAACAATATTATTATTCTGAGAACATACAAATAGATCATTCTGTAAAGAAAAAACTACCTTGTTCTTCCTGTGTTGATGAGTGACATAAGCTCTTAGGGAATTGTTAAGAACGTTATTTTTAGACGTGGAAGAACTTACCATTTCCATGTGCTAATGTGCTAATGTAAGCAACATGGTATATATGCAGTCAGGTCATTTTTTTATCACTGTTAATGAAATAATAACATTGGACAGCAATAGGATCATAATGCCTCAATCCCCTAACTTTCTTTAGTTCCAGAACATTTATTGATTTATTAATTTTTTGAGAAATCGACCTTTCAAAGAATATTTCTAAGTGTACACTTTCACAACAAATACCCAACTAATAGTAACAGCCTTCCCAGTGAAACCTTTATATTGATTTAGCCTGAAAGTACCAGGGCCCACTAAATTATTGGTCCCTTCAAAAGTAAGAGCAAGCGGAGAAATAGCCCCTCAATGTAATGATCCCAGAAAGTAACCTTACATTTTTGTTCTTTTGTACCAAAAGTAACTGACTGTCCCATTAAGTAATGAGGCTTAAACCTCAACCCGAACCTTACAAAAGTTACCCAAAGTTTAACACTTCCTTAGCCCTTTCTACACAACATTTTTTTGTCTTTTTTCTGATCCTTTTTGTTGGTTTCTTGATGTTGTCACAAGAATTATTGTGATTTTTGCTTTTTTCACTAGAATGTCTGTTGCATGAGTGTGGTGAAAGATTTCTTCAAACTGAGAAAGTACAACATTCATGAAGTAAATGAGCAAATCCACAAATCCCAAAAAAATTCCAAAATTGAAGATGGCAAAGTAAATAATGAAGCAACTGAACCAGAAGATAGAACTGCCAGTAAAGACGATACTCATAGTACAACAGTCGACAATCCTGCATGTACACGAGACAATACAGAGTCCCAAGAAAATTCTGGTGAACTTTTAAACCAAAATTCCAGCCACGTCAGCTCAGTTACCAAAGAGCCAAAAGATGAAGGAGAAAGTCAAAACTGCCAGGATAACAATCTGGTCAAGTGAATTTTGACACACACAGGTATTTGCTGTTACAGGGATATTATCACGCATAGAGGGGTACTCAATGAAGTTTTTGGGGAGAGGCCCCACCCTGAGGATACCTCACGTAGCTAAAACCTGAAAACACTAATCCATTTTCTTATTCCTTTGAATATACATGTGTGTTATTGAATTTTTTTGTCAAATATTTTAAAAAATTGCTTCATTTTAACCTTGAAATATTACACTAAAATATGAAGTATCACCAGAAAAAGAATGATGTAAACCAATATTCTAATGGAGGGCCTTTTGGGTACCTATCTGCTCTTATACTCTAACTTGTGAAATCCTTCCATTTAACCAGTATATACAGCCTAACAAAGGTACCCCTTTCTGGCAGAGCCACCTCATACAGGCCATTATGCCTTTAGGTCCCAAAAGTGACCAACGTTAATTTTCTCCTAACAATGTCAGCAGATCATCAAGAGTAAAGGTTATGAGAACTACTAAATTGATTACTAAAGGGATAGCACTATGATTTCAACTCAAATTCTCTCAGCTGTTCTTAAAAGAAATGTATGAAGATCAGTCTGGAGAATTTGTACGTGGATCTTGGGGCTTAAATGGTTAAAGCAATAACCTGAGATCAGGCCCAAGTTTAGCAGCTTCCATACATTCTCCACTTTATTTACCAAGGGAAACAAAAGTAGAGCCTGATCTTAGGTTATTATAGCCCAGGGGGGTTACTCGGGATTTCAAGTGACGGGGATGATCGAATGGAGCCAAAAGTCAAGACCCAAAAAAATCCCTAGGGCTACCAGCAAAACCCAAAAAAATCCCTGGACCAAAAATTAACCCCCAAAAAATCCCATGCCGATTCTGTGGCCCTTAAAAGTTCCAGAAAGGGGTAATGCTAAAACACAAAGAAAGACATTGGAAATTGAACACCCATGTTTGTTTATTCATCATACCATCTGAATATTATATCCTTTCCCTCATCTGATTCTTTTTAATACCCTAAAAAAATCCCTACACAAATCAAGCCACCCAAGCCAAATTTTCATACCCAAAAAAATCCCGGAATCGAAAATTTCAAACCCAAAAAAATCCTTCGATCATCCCTGTCACTTGAAATCCCGAGTACCCCCCCTGGGTATTATAGCAAGTACCCTGGGAAATAATCTTATTCTAATAATGGAAAAAGTAAGCACTCTTTCAGGGCTGTCACTGAGGGCAGGGGGCTGGGGATTTCCTCCAGCTAATAGGGAGCTTAAGCAACAATGATGGCAACTTCAACAAGAACAGCAAAAAAGCAATAGGTTTAAATTGGCGAAACAATGACTTTGCACATGCATCAAGGTTTTTTTGTACATTTCTTTGCAGCCACTACAACGTGAAAATGCTTTATTTCACGATTTGTAGAGGATGGGAACACAGTTCTTTTCCAGAACTTCAATACAGTCCTTTAGAATTCAACTTCAAAACAATTTGCCAACATCAGACAAATTAAATGAGATAGATAAAGTGCAATAAAGTTCGAGGCAGCTCAAATTCACTTTTTAAGTGATGTTTTTGTAGTTGTCCCTGTCGTCGCTTATGCTCCCTAATACGTACATGAACCCCTGCTTCTTTCAAAAGAAATATGGAACCAAAAGAACTTCCTTGCTCTTCAATTCCCCCACTTACTAACATAATTACTTTACCAGCAACTTGAAATCTTAGAGAGCCCGGGTTTGTTCTGCTTGTGTCTAAAGTACGGCACAACACTTTTCAGCATAGTAAAAATTTTAATTTTTATTGAACTTGTACCTTACACAAACAATTTTCAGCAGTAATGAAATACATGCCATGAATAATGTTTAGTTGTAAAACACACTCAGATTGACTATAGTACTCTACCTTGAGAACACTCCCAACAGTAAAATAATGCTAAAATGTTTTTTCACACCAAAATACAGGTTACAAGAACCTTTTGATACAAAAGATTACATTTTTGAACACGGTGACAACTCTCACACATATAGATGATCACACTTTAGGAAAACTTTGAAACCTGACTTTCAAATACGCAGTACGCACAAAGGACTGCCTATTTTTTTTAATTTGCCATGTTCTAGACAAGCAGCATGATTTGCGACCATTGAACAGCAATAACATCACAGGCAGCTGCAAGCCAACTGACAAGGACACTCACAAGTTTATTCTGACTGAAAGAGAGTATTAAATTATGTGCCTGGTGCACCAGGGTCTTAACCCTTTGAGCCCCAATATCCACTAGCAAATTCTCCAAACTGATCTCTATACATTTCTTTAAAGAATAAGTTGAGAGAATTTGAGAAAAGATCAAAGCATTTTCTCTTTGGTGATCATTTAATTAATTCTCATAACCTAATCTCTTGACATCGTGTGGATATTGTTAGGAGAAAATTGATGTTGGTCACTATTGGGACTTAAAGGGTTAAGGGATTCTGTAATAATTTATTGTGAAGGTTAGGTGCATTGCCGAGACTATAATTGCAGTTTGGAATAAAACAGTTGTAGTCCATCAAGTTTGTTCAGCTTTGCAATGTCCCTTCAAAAAAGCATCTCCAGTATCCTCTGGTTGTAAATCATGCCCATATTCCCACTCATTTAGAACATGGCAAATTGCTCATGGAGATGGCATAATTAAGTACACAGTGAGTGAAAACTGAAGAACTTCCCATTACTTTTATAGATTTAAAAAATGAACATTTAAATGGAACAGTCTTTTAATTAGAAGAGTCATTTTAATATTTTTCCAGAGCAAAAAGGAATACCTGTAGATTAGAATTCTCCTTTTATACTGCTGTACTATTTGCTTCATCATGCTATAAGCTAGAACCAATAAAACTTCCCAGACTGAAAGTTCAGCAGCCTTGTATGCCATGCTTAATTGTCACAAGAATGCTTAATGTGCTGTCTGACACAACTTAGTTGTCTTATTCTGTCAGCATGACTAAAAGAATTCATTCTAACTGGTCAGTTTGTGTTCCATTAAAGACTTCCAGTTGTTTGTTCAACATAGGCTAGACCATCATTATATCTTTAGGAAGATTACTGATGTTGATACAAACTTGCCAATAGAACTGTAACTTAATGTTTTTGTGTATCTTTGCCACAATAGGCCTGGGATAATTTCTAAGGCAGCAGTAGCTTCCTCTTTCTATAGCTAGAGGAGCAACAGCCCATGTATATCTTACTGTTAACTGCTTTACAGGTGCTGTGCCCAGTAGCATACAATAACATTATATCCTGATCTATCCTTTTGCAGCAAAATACTAACAATGCTTTTGGTACTATCCAAAATAGTGTTTTCCAGGAAAGTTTGTTGATAAAACTTATTGTTCATCTGACATCAAAACATATCATATTTTTGCTTGTTCAAAAAAGAAGAGCTACCTAAGAAAAATTCCAAGACACTCCATGTACTGTGGTCATTGCCAGTTATCACTGACACCACAAAATTAAAACAAATCATTATTACCAAATCCGAAACATTACTGGTTTATCATTGAATTTAGAAAGTCAATTCAAGAGATTCGTTTTTCCTCAAATAAATAATCACTTCTTTCATGAGACACTTAAATACTCAAAAGAGCAATGGATTTTCTTCATTTATTGTTTTGGTTGCTACATTTTTTATGAAAAATTTGTGCTTATAGTCAGACCTTTCCTAATGCACTCTTCTGACCATAATACAGACCCCTCTTTCCCCATTCCCTCTAACTTCAGACAATCTACAGTGGAACCCCAATATAACGAAATGCTAAGGGAGCAGTAAAATAAATTATATTGTTATATTGAAGATTCATTATATCGAAACTCCCGATATAACAATATGGCCATAAAATAACCGAAAATATTGTTATATCAGGGTAAACCAAATAGAATTGAATGACAAGGAGGATATTAAGTTGATAAAGAGGCTTAGAGCACAGTATCATCATATGATATCACAGAATCGTTGAAGAACGCTCGATTACTGTAATGTTTTTGTATTGAATTTGAAGTTGACTGTGTACTGATAATATCATTATTATCCAGGAAGATTTTACACTTGGTCCACTTAATTCTCATTGTTATATCAGGGTATCACTCTATCAAAGATCGTTATATCGGGGATCTGTCCCATACATTTTACTGTAACTTCTGTGGGGACATAGTATCGTTATATGGAGGATCGCTATAATAATTGGGGTTCCACTGTACCTCCTAAATGCAGAAACTTGACCCAGTTACAACTGTTGTAATTGTCCTAATTCAGGAGGTTTGGCCATATATTAATACTGTGCCTTAAATTGTCTATTTTAGTTTTTTACCCTTTTTTTCTAATTGCTTAACTTTTAACAATAAATCTACTTTGTTTATTTACTGTAGGTTACATTAATTTTATATTGCCCTTTTGGCCCTAGTAAAAACTCACCTTAACCCTTTCAATCCCAAAGAGGAAATGTTTCTCTAAATTATTAGACTATTTCTTGTCTAAATTATTGGTTTAATTTTTCTTTGAGTTATTGGACAAAAATTTTAAAATTCATTTAGTAATTTTTTGATAACAAATCATGAGAAACTACTCATACCGTACATAGACCTTTCCGGAGTTTTTTCCAACTTTTGACATGGACAAGTTAGCGGAAATCCATTGACTAGGCCACAAAGAGTGCCTTTAAATTAATAAAATTGCCAAATTTGACAGTGATTGCTAAAAAAAAAGGAAGATATTAATAGCTCCTCAAAGTTGCAAGTGTTTACAAATCAAAAGTTTAAAAACCCACGGAAGGATCTATATATTTTTGTCCACAAACTCAAAAGTTAGAACCACCTTTAGTATAAAACGTCATCATTCACTCTGGGAGTAAAAGTATTTAGTAATATTATTTAATACTTGAAATCATTAACAGTAATAAATTTAAAATGTTTTTGAATGGTTTGGAAAGAATCTCTTACCATTGGTGTTTCTTGATCTAATCAAAATATTTTTTCTACAGTAGAACAGCAGAAGTAAATATTTTGAAACACATCAATATAAACTTGCTGGACTTGCAAAATTTGAATACATTGATAGTGCAAAACAATTATGTCCAATTCCATGAAAATGAACTTGTATCAATAATACTATGAACATGCACACCAAACATGATATTGTATACAATGCATTACCGGTAAAGCTGTATTCTATAATGCAATTCAAGTGAGTACAATGGCTATACATACATGTACTTCAATGAAACACGCCCACATGCTATGCAACATACTTCTTGCAATGCACTCACACAGTGTTAAAAGGACATCATAACATGACTGCAATGTTGTACATTGCAACCCTCATTGGTTCAGAAAGCAGAGGTATTTTCCTTTTGGTTGGATATGTTTGGACTACTGCCTTGTGTGTTTTCCTTATTACCATCATGAAACTCCTCAAAATACTCATGTTGAATGGCTTGTTTGGCAACAATTCTCTTGTTTGGACTGAATGTGAGCATTTTCTGAAAAAAAAAGAGCATACATGTACTACAGATTACTTTTATAGCCTGAGAAAAGAAGCGACATTTCATGATGCCTCCACTGAGTAACCCTCCCTCTAAGTAACTTTTAAGAAAGTGTAGAAATTCCATACTGATGATGTTTACTACCCAGACCTGGGCAGTGCTTTTGATTGGTTGAAGCAAGTATTTGTGACATGTCACAAATAGTGATGTGATAGATTGATTTTGATTGATCGGTTGAAGCAACTTAATGGCATGTCACAAAATAAAATGTAGTGGCATATGTCATATATAGAGCATCATTTTGCAGGTAAACATTGGTGGCATGGCAAAATATCAGCCGTTTTCTTATACTAACTTCAGACAGTTTTACCTGGATTTACTAAGACGGTGTGCGAAAAAAGACGGCAGTTCACCACTGATGATCGTTTACTTAATTCTCTCAATGATTTTTGGCAACAGAAATAATACTGACCTTGAGTAAGTGAGTTCCACTTTCACACATCTCTGGTATTAGTTCAGACAGAGAAAAAGGAGCATATCTTGAGAAAGATGATCTTGGTAAAGTAACATTGGCTGGCCAATCACCTTGTGGAGGGGTACCTATAACGCTGAAAAATATTAAATCGGTGAAAGTTAGTTTTCCAGTTTGAAATAAATGACTTACTAAAGTACATATCTATACCTGCCAAGTTTCTCACCTAAGGTGTGATTGTCATGCAGAAACTTAGATCTCATACCTACTCACGCCTTTGTTCTAATAATTTCTCATGCCCGGTAGAACCATTCAAGCTATTACAGCATTACTCATAACTATAACAAAATTCTCAAATCTGATTGGCTATCAACTGTCCTGATTTCAGCACTAATAGGACAGTGTAAAAGGACGGTACACGTCATGCCTAAGAAATTGGACAGTGTGCACCATCGCACATGCACACTTTAATGGCTTTTTTTCACACCATGTAAGAGAACTCATAGAATTTCTTGTGTTTTTATTTTCAAGAGGGTTAAAACATCACAAATTTTGTTGTAGTTATGATTATTTGATAACAGAACATCGTTTTGTCCAACTGAGTGGAGTCCAATTCTGTCTGTAATCGTATTCTTGATTAAACAAATCGAAACGGGAGTCCGATTTGTTTAATCATGAATATGACTACAGGCAGAGTTGGACTCCACTCAGTCCTATTACCATTTTATTAACGGACACATTTTTAAAAATATATTAATTATTTAAAGAAAGTGGGACATATCTATTTATTATATAGACACTGATGAAATACCAGGATTTTTCCAGTGATGAAAATTTGGTGTCCAGTGAAGATACAATTTTTATCCTTCACACGTGAAGACATCACAGTTGTCATGGCAACTTCAGTCTCAGCTAATAGGAAAAGACCATCCCACATCGGTGTCTATATAATAAACAGAATATTACATGCCCGCTTGTGGATACAAATTTTAACTTGTCATGTTCAACTCGTATCCAAGCGCATGCATGTAATATCCTCCATTTATGAAATAAAATTAAGATTTGTTTATCTCGAAAGCCAGAAATATTGAAACTCAGTCTGTCCCTTTATTAATAAATTATGACTACGGGATTTGCTCATGTTATGCAGACTCTGATTGGCCCTTTTATTTTTAGAGTGCAGTGTATGACAGTTTAATACTCACCTAAAAATTCTGTTGAGTTGATCCACTTCTGATTTCCCCTCAAACAATGGTTTTCTGTTATAAAGTTCAGCCATGATACACCCAATGCTCCAAATATCCACAGCCGTGGCATAACTGGAATGAAGAAGCACTTCAGGAGCTCTGTACCACAATGTCACAACCTTAAACATAAGCAAACATGTTTCTTTAACCTTTAATTCCCAAACAACCCACACTGATATCCATGCATTTCCCTTAGGAATATATTCATAAATGTACTTAATTGAGGGAATATGTTTTAACCCTTTAAGCCCCAATATCCACATACATATTCTCCAAACTGATCTCTCTATATATGAAAGATCAAGGCACTTACTTTCTCTTTGGTGATCATTTTATTACTTCTCATAAACTAATCTCTTGACCTTGTATGGATATCGTTAGGAGAAAACTGATGTTAGTCACCATTGGGACTTAAAGGGTTAAATAAAAGTATTCTCCCTTAGGTGATCATTTTATCCACTATTGAGTATATCCCAGGTTTGCCACAGTTTGATAACTGAAACTGACCAAAAAAACTTATCTCATTGTGAAATCCTAAGAAATGAATAGTACTTTGCAAAACATCAGTTAAGAGATTTTTTTTGAATGGTAACACCACAGGATATATAATTTATGCTAAGAAAGCCGGGGGGGGGGGTACTCCCTTATATAAGCTATATAGGTATGTGCCGCCAAATCAGGTAGGGTTTTTGCACCATTTTGGTCTGAAACAGGTTTACACTATGCCCATTTTGGTCTGGGATTGTTTATGGTTTTTGAGGGAACTACAGAAGTGTATAAACGTATTTATCGTTTCAATTCCAAATGAGTAACAAAGAAAGAGAAACATGCAAATTTGAATTGGATTTGAAGAATTTTTGTGTTTGCACTCTAATTTAAGTAATGATAACGTAATTTCTGCTAAAGGCCAGGCCTTGGTTATTCAAAGCCTGGATAGCGCTATCCAGCAGATAAATCTCTATCCAGTGGATAGTGCATTTAGTTTCCCCATTACTTAATTATCCACTGGTTAGTGATTTATCCAGTGGTTAGCGCTATCCAACATTTGAACAACTGGGGCCAGGTCTGAAAATGTGGAAAATTACATTTTTTAGTCTGAAATGCTGGGTCAGGATCTAGGGGACCTGGTGGCACACCCCCACCAAGAATTCCCAGGAGTATCCCCCCCCTCCCCTGTAAGAATGAAATGCTTCTAATAATTGTACTTACATACGTTATGTATTTAGCCCCAAACAGGTAAAACAAAAGAACAACAGTAAAAATAACAAGAGTCTCAGAAGTGCGCCTGAGTGAGTCACTCACCACTGATGTCAAAGCCATGGCATCTCTATAAATTCTTGCCAATCCAAAGTCGGCGATCTTCACTTGACCAGTTCTGGAGATCAGGATATTCTGTGGCTTCAGGTCTCGATGGACTATCCGATGGGAATGCAAGAAGTCTATACCATTTAAGAGCTGATGTGTAATATCCTATCACAAGGAAAAGGTGTTTTAAAAAGCAGCTTGACCACACCGTAGTTTACAGTGTATGCACCCCTTAAAGAGTGCCCAGAAAACACATTAAAGGGGGGTGTTTCATTACTTTTTTTGTCTCTTTATCACAATTCACACTCGTCACTGTTATGATAGCAATGATATTTGTGGCTCGGTCTGTGCTGATCAGTGACCACATCCCAAAATTTATTGCTTTTTCAAGCTGTTGTGGAACTAGAGTCACTGGAGAGCCTACATAGTAAGCACAATGATGAAACCATGATGAAAAAGCAATTTGTCGTCTTTCAATGTTTATCAATGTGACGCATGTGCAAAGCTTTCTTTTGGTGAGATTTTTGTTGTCATCGTCATTGTGTTGATGTTTAAGCTCCCTACACATACACAGGGTTCACACAGTCTTGAAAAGTCCTTGAATTTTAGGGGAAGTTCTTGAAAAGTCCTTGAATTCCATTTTTCCTTGAAAAGTCCTTAAATTTCCGTTCAAGTCCTTAAAAAGTCCTTGAATTTTCTTCAACTTTGAATATAGTGGCCTCGAAGGTGTTTTTTGATGCTTTTTGGTTGTCCAAGACCGAATAGAAATTGTAGCTCGGCGAATTTAAAGGTTGTTTACATAAAGTGCCAATGTTTTATGCAATAATTAACTATCAATTTAAGACAAGGGAACTGAAAAATGTAGAGAAGTTGGTGAAGCAAACAGTTAAAGCCTTAAAGCCTTATTAGAGTAGACTGGGAATGTGCATTTTTGTACAATCTGTGAACTTATATTCCTAGTAGGTGGTCCTTGAAAATCTAATGTGGTCCTCGAAAAGTCCTTGAAAAATGGTTGCAATGTTTGTATGAACCCTGATACAGTGGTATGTTACCAGATTTTAAGGAATAAAAGAAGGGAACTTTACCAGTTGTTTCGCATAGGAATTTTCCCAAGCAGAGGCCCTTACAATCTTCTTAGATAAGCTGACCAAAGGGCCTGATCTGCACAATCAGGATTAGCAGGGTTAAGAACGTTACTTGTTAGATTTTGTTATAATCTCCATACCTTGATTTTCCACTCTGGTAAGCCAGGTTGAGGGCAATGTTCAAGATATGCATTCAGGTCTTGCTCGATGTGTTCAAATACCAAAGTTAAATGGGTCTCACCAGGGCATGATGGTGATGTGGTGTGGAACACATCTAGTAACCTATAGTAACAGGAAAAAAATTGAACCTTTCAAACGTGCCCGTAGTTTTCACTTTTTTTCAGCAGTTTCCTCTTTTATGGAAGAGCATTTCAATCTCAGAAAGGAAACAAGGAATTTTCTCAGATAATAATCCCCTTAATCCTAGAAGGAGCCAAAATCAAAATACAGTCAGCTCAGAAACCCTCAGCAAGCAAAGAAAGAGTCCACAGTGGTTGAGCTGGTCACTTATTGGAATTGTTTTTGGGAGTGGAGAGTTCAAATAGGGTTTTGTCAAGGCAGCCATATTAAGTGAAGAGCTCGTTGTCTGCTTATCAAAATGTCAACTTTTCACACTGAGCTTTGACTCAGTGTTTGCGAGAGACATACTGAAGTTTCAGTTGACAACTGCTAAAAAAACATCATCATGTGTAGATGTAGTTGAAGAGGTTTTGTTCATTGATTGCATGCAGAACTAAATCCAGCTGAGCTAATCAAGGAAACTGCAGGGCACTTCTTATGGTACATAATTATGAAATCAAAACATCTAGTTGACTTGATGTACGAAGTTGAGTAAAGCATTGCATTTACAGCTGTAGTGCATCCAAAGCATCAGAATCAAATTTGAAATTGCTGAATTTTTATACTACATTTTTTTGGTGAATATATATATATATGATAATCACGTTATTTTATCATTGATGTTTCTGTTAGATTTAGGAGTGCTGTGTGTTGGAGGCACACACTGGCTGGCTGTCTTTAGCTTCACAATCAGAGCAAAAAAAATCAGTTCACTATTTCCTACTGGAATTTAAAACTGCAAAAAAAATGTAAATAGGAAAGCTTAATTACCCCGTAAGGAGCTTTTCTGGATAATAAACATAACAGTGTAAACAATCAATATTTTCACTGGAACGTGAGAAGTTAAAATCCCAGCTGATGGGAAAATAACCCAGTGGGTTTATATTTACAAACATGGTGTAGGTTATCTGAGAATAACTACTCACAAACAACTCCAGGTTATGATCAGAGCAGGGAGCTGGGAACTCTAGAATTGAAGGCTAGTGCCCTTAATGAACTTCATAGCCTGGGAAGGTTATTTACCCAGTCAGAGGCAACTCGCAAAAATACTGAGTTCTCCCAGGAGGAGTTGAATATACAACATCCAGCCCAGTCAAACTCTGTACATGTATTTTAACACCAGATGTTTGACACGCAGTCTGACATTGCGTGTTATACGGGCAACAGGTCCCAGATGGTATACCATAGGTGCTAAACTATAGTTCTTAGGTGCATCTTATCTGAGGATTACTAGACAGGTTATTATTAGAATTATTACACTCGGAGTATTGATAAATTGATAAACTTCTTAACTGAATGTATACTTACAAACATGGTTTAGTTAAGTACAGTCAAACTCTCTCAATACGGACACTAAGGGGGCCATACAAAATGGTTTCCATATTAAGCGAGGTGAATTTAGAGAAAAGGTACAACTGTAAAGGTGTTCTTCTCTCGGGGAAAAAGAAAACTCTTCAGGAGAATGAGGTGTTCATTTTATGCTGTTGCACGTAAAGTGGGGTTTAACTGTACTAAATTTGGTTTAATCTCTTTAAATTTACACCATTCACAGAACACACTTACAGCTGCGAGGGGAAACTACAATACGTGCAGAAAAAACTACAATCTCTTGTTCCTCTTGTTTCTTTATTATTTGTTGAGGAATACTTTTGATCCTGCTGTGTCTTTTTAGTAGAATGTGGAGGACCAATTGCTTTGAGAAAAGGCTACTGGGCAGAACAAAATGCAATATTCTTAAAGTAAAATGGTATGGTCTAAAGAGGAAAAAAAACAGAAGTGATCATTCTGTCTAATCTGTAATCAACATATATTTTTCACTACCCACTAAGGGCAACATACATCTAATTTTAAACTTGTTGATTAATGAGATAAATTTTACAGTAAGAGCCAAAATTTGTTTCAGCCTCATAGTATTGTGCCTATACAGTGTAGCACATAGAAAAGAAGCTTGTCATCCTAAATACTCCATTCCCAATGTCAGCACCTCATTCAGTTGCTGTATTGTATTTATTTTTTGAGAAATATTGGGGCGGAGCCATCAAGACATACCAACACCGCATAAACTCGAGGTCAATGTTATTTTCTTTTAGTTGTACTAAGAATAAATATTACATTCCATCCACCCTTGGGAGTTGAGTTTAAAAGGCTTGGCTTTGACTTCAAAGGACATTTTAATTAAAATTCGCATTTCTGAGACCTCATGAAAAGAAGCAATTATGCAAAGATATGGAACGAAAAGAACTTAACACTTACGTAACAAAAGTGGTTATTCACATTCAGATCGGTCAAAAATTTGGTGGAAATACATACACTCTTCAGTTATAACAGAAATAGAAATCATACTTCGCGTGATTAAAAGATTTAAAAGTTGGAAGGTCATTGCCCATGAGACATAAGAATTTAACTTTTGCGTGTGAAATCACGTCAGCTTTCTAAAGGCCAAAGTCATCTGCTGGGTTCTATTGTTAAGTGGGTGCTTCATGTATTTTTTCAACAATGTGTTTTGTCTAAACAAATCATCGACTGAACGAAGAAGAATAAGCCAATTTATACGTCATCTGATCTGAAACAAAAACTTAATTAAAAAGATTTTGCAAATTTTAATCGTACTTCAGTTTGTATTAGTGATCGCGCCAAAATGTAAAATAGAAAGTTGCTACACATGTAATTAGCAATGTCACTGATTTGTAAATAATTTGCATCGAAAGTCTCGGCATGGATATGTGTCAAGTTTTAAACTCCTTAAGCCGCGCGCAAAACATAGTTTTTTTAGATGTCTTTAAGGTCACGGTTTTCCTTACGGTTTTGTTTATATTAAACAATGGACTTATAAATGAGCAAAAAAAGACCGTCTGGCCTTAGATCACATTAAATAATGTATCGGGAAAATGTCTAAGAGCCGCAAGGCACTATTTTGACGACTTAGCGAAGGATGGCTTTACAAGGGCTTCAAGAAAGGCATCTTTCTCTTTCATCTCTATGTTCAAAAGTTGCCTCATTCCGATCCCTTTTAGTAGTAGTAATCTCTACGGAAACTTAATCCTTGATCAAATCCTGCGATGGACGTCTTTGCCATTTTTCATACAGGAAAATTGCGCGGCAATGAAAGGTCGTAGCACATATCAATCTCGAATCCAATTTCTGAAACACGACACGTCGGGATAATGTAAATACTGCTTGTCGATACAGTGTGTTTTCGGTGTAATGGAGGGATAAATGTTAAATAAACATCGCTTTCTGTAAATCCTATTGATTTTGATGTCAGAGGAGGTGTTTTTAATATTTAAGCGTCGAAAACGGCGTTTTATTAAAGAAAAAAAAAGTGCGAATATTCCGGTCTTCATTTGTTCGCGCGAGAACGAGGTTTAAATTTCCATACCAAGTCGCGGGAAACTGTTCAGCCAATCACGAAGGCCCTAGACCAATGTTATTCACTTCCGGTGTACAGACATCAACAAACTTACATGCCTGCAGCCAAATAGTTCCGGTTTTTTTCGTGTTTTATTCAATCACTTTTTCGTAAATCTGAAAAACTTTTTAGCGTTAGAACACAAACTAAGAAAAGCTAGTTCTAAATCCAACCGAAGAGACAGTGATCTATTTCTTGAAGGCTTGAATTGCCCTCTATTGAAATGCTAAAGCCCTTAATTATGTGGTGAATAAACAAGAATTCGGAGCCAAATTACTTTCTTGCATGGTACCTGTAAAGCAAACCCTTATAATCTCTAACTGTGTTTCACGAAAATGAATACAGTCTTAACTAATAGCCCCCCGGGCGAATCAATGTGTGAACTTAGCACATTTGTATTGAAAAACGGCAGGTTTGCTGGCTGGAGGAATGCAGTAATTAAACAAAAGATGCATTTTAATAAAATCTCAATATAGCTAAATTGAACAGAAATTAAACTCTTTCCATTTTTTTCGAGAAGTTAGTTTTAATTGGCCAGCCTGTGTGAAACTAATCAAACAATTCGTGTACGTAAAGTAAAAAATAAAATAAAATAAAAATATTTGTTTGATTAATATCGTAATGGGGAAGGGTCGAGGGTTTCGCAAGATTTTCGGGACGACTGGGTACAGCAGCAACTCTAGATCTCTAAAATATTACTTTAGATCACTTGAGAGAAATCAAACAAATCGCTTAGCTTACCTAACAATGTTCTCATGAGAGAAATTGTCGATCTGTTTAAGAAGGGCTATTTCGCGGATGGTAGAGAGTGGCATTCCTTCCTCGCTGTTTACAATTATTCTCACCCTCTTCAGAGCCACAAATCGTCCTTCGTTTTGAAGATCGCGGGCTTTATAGACGGTCCCGTAAGCTCCATTTCCAATCATAGCCACTTCTTCATATTTTTGAGCCATGCCACTTATTCAGAACACGAAAGAAGGGCCAAGATTTCACTTTCTCTTTCTCGGTGCTTTGATCATTTTAGCGTGACATGGCGGGTGCTGATGGTTTAGGTAGACGAAGTCCTGCTATCTTGTCGCGAAGCCAACTCGCTCCAAAATCTCCGATGGCAGTCTTCAGTATTCCATAAGGTTACCCTGACCAGGAAGATTCCGACGAGCTAAAGAAAGCAACAGGATCGTTCGCTAAAACAGCCACAAAAATGAATACTGCTCACCAAAGGCAAGGTAAATATTCAACCTTTAATTCCGCTCAGGTCTCTTAGGAATTGGAAATCGCATACGGTTTCAATTCAACCGGCAATTTACGTCAAAGAATGTTAAAAGAGCTGAATAATGACATTTTCCTGTTGGATTAGCCTGAAAGATCGCGATCTACTCACCGATGTAATTTTGTCTTAGCTTGCCCGACAACACTACCCAGAACACAAATGAATGAAAAAGTCACACTGAAAAAATAATTCTGAGGTTGCACGTCTCACTGCCTCCACGTGCGCACCGCTTGGCTTATTTATTTCCGGTTTGTTAATTACTCTGTGATTGGTTGCTGGGGCCTTAGTTGTCTTGTGTATCGGAATGTGGGGTATATTCATTGGTCCCTTTTGTCACGCCCTCTTCGAGAACGGCCAATAGTGGCAATTAGTGTCCTTCAAAACGTAATTTTCTGCCACAGAAAAGAAAAGGAACTCATTTACCACCTAGTGGACAGTAACGGAAAGCGAATGATGGCTTAAAAAAAACTAATGTTGTTTTACAGCACATGGCTAACCATCTGCGCGGTGTTCTCCGATTTCACTCCCCATCCATCACTCTGTCAAATTATAAGAGCCAAACAACTCTTGTCACCTCACCTCACCTCACCTACTCATCACAGCCAAAAATACATTTAAACTCGGCAAAACACTAACGCTCAACTCCTAGCATCCAACAATATACCAAAACATGGAGATCTCGAGAACATTTTTTCCGATCTTATCTCTGATTATCTAAGTCCCGTTGTCGAGGCAACGGCGAATCAATCAATATCAGGAGATGAGTGGCAGACTGGCAGATGTTTTTTCCAAACAGTGACCTATGATTTCGATTTTCACAATATACATGTACGCATTAAAAGCAAGTTCTTGTGTATTGAAAGCGGATAAACAAGCCGCAAAGGTGGAACGATCCAGTAAATTCTCACGGCCTAGATATATATACCTGCTCGTCACGGAGATTTGACTTCTCAACAAGTAATAATTAAGAGTTCAACTTCACTGATTTCGTCAATATTGAAAACAATGAAAAGTCGAATTTCCCTCCTGAATGAAAACTAGAGTTAACTCTAGTAACACCTACAATTTTCTTGTAGCTTTAGAAGCTAGTTAGCTTGGTACACTGTGAGTTCATAGGCTGTTCTGTGCATGAAACGTACAGGACATGGGCTCTTTAACCGAACAAACAATGTAATTAATCATTTGAATTGCTAAGACTCAACCTTGTTATTATGTGACTTTGAATGACACCGAGACCCCCGGGCACCGAGAGTACCTCCCTTAAATGCTGTTAGCAGTAAACATTTCACTTTATATCTACTCCAATAAAGTTTTCAAACACAGTAGCTGTAAAAGTCAGGGGGAAACGTCCTCTTGGTTGCCATCAGGTTTTAAGACTGGAATGACTTTAATGCACTGACTTTCGAAACCTCTTGAGAACGGTACAGTTTCCGCATGATACTAAGGAGTGGCTAACAGCAATTTTAAGTGTGCAACTCTTATTAAATAACTGAAAATACTGACGTTCTGGCTGGTGCTACAAAGTTTTATTTGGTTTGATGGGCTTGAAAATCATGTAAAATCTTCTCAGTCTTGATCACTGTTACGAAAGAATATCTTTTAAAAATATCTAGGAATTTATCGTGTATGGTATGTATGGCTCAAGTTTAATTCGTAGTTGTGTTGGTTTATTGATAGTTGCATTTGTCAGTTTCTGTTTAAAATTAAAATTTCTTTAGAGGCTTGTTTATTGTTTGTTACCTTGTTTATTTTCACATTTTTTTGTTTAGTTTTTTTATTTCTCTGAAAGAGTAACGCGGTATTTCAAACCTTTCTATTCCCTCAAGCTTGGTTGGCGAAACATCCAAAATGCATAACCTTGTCCATTCTCGGTCATTAAAGATTGCATTTGTTGGTTAAAACTCAAAACCGGCTGTTTCAAAATAAGTTCGCGGTAGAGCGTTTCGTTCACACATAATTCATCACTGGTTTCGTTGTGTGTCCATTACTGGTGTGTATGTAAGTCCCACGATTTTTGAGTTGTTTGTGCGACATATAGCGGTATGTAAAGTGACAAAAGCTGAAGTATTTTCTGGCATTCACTCTTGCGTTAGTCATCTGTGTATATATCTGTGTATCAAGCGATACTATACATTTATCATAGATATCGGATAGTTATCAAGGAACGAACGTCATACAGTAATAATGATAATGATGATATCATCATCAAAATGATTTAACCATGATAAAAGTAATAATCATATAAATCATAATACATTGCCTTGTTAATGATTTGTGGAAAGGATATTTCAACTAACAATACACACTACAATCAAAAATCATTTCTATTATCAAGAGAGAATGGGGTAGCTATATCCATTTACTGACAAGCGTTTGTTTCAAATTATTTTAGATTTCAAGAAATGTCCTGATTTAAAATGTTCCCTGCACACTGGCTGTTTCAGGGAACACTCCAGAGGGAAAAGTTAGAACAACTCAGTCAAATGATCTGTACTGTAAAAACAGCCCGCTTTATAATTGCTGTGATTGGTTTCAAGGAATGCCAAAGCGGTTCAAAAGACAAACCTAGCTTGGCTTTAACGACGTGAACACTGCTCAAATAAGTACTAGGTGGAAAATCAATTTAGTTTTGTTACCAGGCAGTAAAAGACGTTTGGTTCAGTCTACTTTACATACTGTGAGTATCGGCCTTATACAGGCAAAGTGAGAAAGGGAGGCAAGAGTAGGAAGAGGAAAATAGAAGATGCCCTGTTTTCTCCCTTCGTTTTCTCTTCTTTTCGCTTCCCTTCTCCCTCCCCCAAGAAATGCCTGATAAAAAATGCTATACTGCAGTACTGACCTAATGTGCTACACGTAGCAGCCAGCAGTCTAGGGGTACACTCCAATACAAGCTTTATGGATATGTGCGGTGCCAAAGGGTCTGGGTTTTTTCGTTCTTGGTCTGAAATAGAGCAAGGTATTGCGCTTTATGGATCTGGAGTCTGGAATTGGGTATATATTTTATCATTCGTCGCCTCGCCTACAACTACAATCACATAATACCTTATTATAGCATCTAATGAATTCTACTGACTATTTAATTAACATCCAGTTAATTTCATTTATACCATCTTGCTTTGAATTGAGAGACAAACTTGTCTCCGGAATAATTAATCCTACCGACGGTTAAAAATAAGCAATGATTAACATATTTCAAATTATTTTAAAGATTAATTTTAAAAGGAATCAATAATTAAATTCAAGTAGCTTTTGCAACTGACTGTAATACATTGTTATAGTCATGCCAATAAATCTTATTAATTGTTGTTGTTCTTGTTGTTATTGCCTTTGAAAAAATCGATCCAGGTCTGAAATACTAAGGTATCCGAAAAATAACATTTGGTCCGAAATTCAACAGGGTAACTGCTTCTGACAGAGCATGCCACACCGCCTGCCTTGAGTGATTTATACGGTAGTTCCCTGAGGGCGTGGCAAACAAAGTATTCGAAAGTGACGAGGAAAGAGAAAATTCAGGTTCTTGATCGAGTGCTTGCCAATCAGACAACAGTGAAACTAAAAATAGAAACAATCATTGCCAGAGGAAGCTCGTTTCATGTTTCGTTTGCGCTACTCTACGTATACAGATTTTGTTCCATGTCAAATATTGAATGCTTAATCATGAAAACATCCCATTTCCTTGAACAATATTCTTCTTGGCGAAGAGAAGACTCGCTTGCTTTTTTCTTTCAGTTTCCATGGTACTATTTTTACGTACCCTGTCCGAGTTCTTTGAGGGCCAGATCATTTTATGTGATAAAGAAATCAGCGGAAAGAGTGCCTCATAGGTTTCTCTTCGTTCTGCGAAGGGTTGCTCGAAACTGCTTTCAAACAATAAGCTTTAATCATCGATTGACTACATGATTGTTGCAGTTCAGTCTCGACGGTATCGTATCGATTCACAGTCATTAAATTACTTGAGTGTCTTGAAAAAATACAGATATCAATCAGTTTTCCGGTTCATCAAAGAATCACGCAAAATCTACGAAGTTTTCTTGTTATTCTTGCTCTAAAACGAGCATACAAGCAAAGAAACGTAAGTCCTCTTGCTTTCCTGTGCGTTTTCTTTGATTTATTTGCGATCAGTTTAATCCCTTTTCACGTTGCATGCCATGTTGTATAATTATTTACTGTTTATAAACTGAATACCTTCTCAAGAATCCCGTCCCATTTCTCAGACTCTAGGTGTTATAGACCATGATAAAAATATAAATATATGAGCTCTTCTTAAAGTAAACAATTTGAAGACCAAAATTCCAATACTGGTTCTCTTATCAGTTTCAATTGACTTTGTCATATGGCTCTTTGCTTTGTGATTTTGTGCAGTGTTTTGAGTTTCAGTTCTTTAGTTCATGTTTATTGGTAAATTACTAAGTTTGCGAATAATGAAAGGATCGAGATGGCTAATATCTTTCAACATTGTAGGAAGTTTGGTTTGATATCGGCAGCTCCTTAATTTTTTGTATCTTAAATAAACAAAACAGTTATCTTGTGTCCACACCGTGATGGTCCCTCTCGCATCCGGCTGAACCGCCCGGGGATTTGATAGATAGTAAGCTATACATCTAATTTACTTCTTTTTTCAGTCTTAGACAAATAGTATTGCCATAATATTATATTTCAATATCTTATTGAACAATTTGTATCATTCTAGAGTTTCACACGTTATATTGGACTTTTTGTCTCAAAGAAGGTCGACGAAAGACTGGGATATTAATGGACTTAAAAGAATTCACTGCATGATTTCGCCATCCTCTCGTCCCCAGGGTTCGTGAATATTCAGT